ATGTAACACGTAATCATGGTATCGGGAATTACTTAGAACATGCTTGCTCAGGTCCTACATAAGTTGTTACATTCACATAGAGGTGGAACAGTAGGTAACATGCTTGTAACCCACAGACATCCAACAACCCACAGACATCCAACAACCCACAGACATCCAACAACCCACAGTCATCCAACAACCCACAGACATCCAACAACCCACAGACATCCAACAACCCACAGACATCCAACAACAACACCCCACAGACATCCAACAACCCACATCCAACACATCAACAACAACATCCAACACCACAAACATCCAACACCCCAACAGACATCCAACACAAACCCCACAGACATCCAACACCCCACAAACAACACCCCAACACCACCCCACAAACATCCAACACCCCAGACATCCAACACCCCCACAACATCAACAACACATCCAACACCCCACAAACATCCAACAACCCACAAACACCAACATCCAACAACACAAACCACAAACATCCACCCCACATCCCCACACCCCACAAACATCCAACACCCCACAAACATCCAACACCCCACAAACATCCAACAACCTGCTCATTGTTGGTTGCTGTAACACTCCTCATGTTGTAGCCAGTTAAACAAATGGTGAACAAAGATGGTAACATCTGGGTAAACGGAACATTTTTTACATATTGATATTGACTTCAATCATTATTTTATGGTGTTCAGCTTGAGAGGTTTTGTTTGGTGTTGGGAACCGATATCAAATAGTCACAGTTTTGTGTATGATGTATGGCATGGCGTATAGCAGCTCATTGACATAGTATGCTTCATGGTGACACAGAACGTATTGACCACATCTTCACCACCTTGTGAGAGCACTGTATATGACATCTTGACAACATTGTATATAACATTGACCACATTGTATATACCTCCTTAACCACATTGTATGTACCTTCTTGACAACATTGTATATAACATCTTGATAACATTGTATCTAACATCTTGATAACATTGTATTTAACATTTTGATAACATTGTATATAACATCTTGATAACATTGTATATATCTTGATAACATTGTATATAACATTTTGATAACATTGTATATAACATCTTGACAACATTGTATATAACATCTTGATAACATTGTATATAACATCTTGATAAAATTGCATATAACATATTGATGACATTGTATGTAACATATTGACAACATTGTATATAACATCTTGATAACATTGTATATAATGTATATAACATCTTGACAACATTGTATATAACATTTTAACATTGAGGGGCGCTGGGGTATCCTAGTGGTCAAAGCGTTTGCTCATCAGTCTGAAGACCTGGGTTTGATTCCCCACGTGGGCACAATGTGTAAAGCCTATTTCTGGTGTCCCCAACCGTGATATTGCTATTGCTAAAAGCAATGAAATTCAGCTCACTCACTTTTGACAACATTGTATTTAACATTGACAACATTGTGTATACCTTCTTGACAACATTATAGATAACATCTTGACAACATTATAAATATCTTGACAACATTATAGATAACATCTTGACAACATTATAAATAACATCTTGACAACATTATAAATAACATCTTGACAACATTATAAATAAGATCTTGACAACATTATAAACATCTTGACAACATTAAGATAACATCTTGACAACATTATAAATAACATCTTGACAACATTATAAATAACATCTTGACCACTTTTGACCGCCATCTCACTCAGTACATAACACTACAATAACCAGATCCCCAGGCTGACGGTTATATTTTGCATTGAGGTGAATTTGTTCAGTTTATAATATATCAAACACCATAAAGCAGGGCTTGTTTTCAGAGTAAACTTGCGTCGGGGAATGAGAAATATTGTGACAGGTGATATTCTGCACTGCAGGAGACTTTATTTCCACCCCTCCATTGAAACAGATTCAGCCAGAACAAATTTGTTAAATTGATCTCCCTGTGCTGCGGCTGTGGCCCGAGTCCTCCGATGTGCATGTATGTATAAACGCTGCTGCCTCCGCAACTCCGTCAGTGCATGCTGGGAACACTGCCATCCTTCAGAAGCGAAAGCTGCTTATTGTCCTGCAGTCGCAAGTTGCAGTGCAGTCACAGCCGAGTTGGCTGTTTTATATCAGAACGTGTATCGTTTCACACAATTACAGCCTCGTCCAGCAATATTTGGTAGTGTTTGGGGATTTGTTACATGTATATTACCCCAGCTTGTCTTAATGTGGCCGTGTTTGTGAGAGGAGATCAGAGATACTTCCCAGTTTAATCGCCTCTTTGTGAAGCTGTTATCTTGTCTTCATGGTATTTTCGCCCTGAAGGAACAGTACATGTTCCATTATGATGGATGATATTCCAATAACAAAATATATATATCAAGGTTGTTTGGTAAGAGATGTCTGAAATATCAACCAAATGAGAAATGAAGCTAAATATGATAGAATTACTCCACTGTGAACTATTTACAATGGGGACACTCCTAGCGATGGGAAAACCTTGAAAGCCAATTATCAGTATGTGGGGTGTGCGTGTCTGTGCTTCAAGTTGCGACTGAAACAGTTTCACTGGAAACCTCTGTATAGCTTCCATCTTGAAGATTACTTAAGTATCTTGTAAAAACAAAAAATGTTCTCGTAAGATGAGATATTTCTGTGGTAAACACAAAAGAACAAATTTGCAGCTTATACTATAAGAAATGACTGGGGAATAGGAACATGGAAGTTGTTTTTTGTGAGTTTGTTGTGCTTCCTGTGAGGTTACTCGTGTTTTCTGGAGTCGTCTGATAGCAACCCCTTCCCCAGGAACACACTGATGAAGTGCTGGACGTTGATGGAGCTCCCAACTATCTTTCATCTTGCTGTTGTGGGGTGGACCAGTAGATAGGGTGTTCTGCTAACTTGAGTAAACAGGTTTGATGCCCCAAATGATAAATATTTTATGAAGAATATTCCATTGAATTTGATGTGTCACATGAGATGCTTGATATGAATAATTCAATTTATTACATCATGATTTGTTTGTACCTTCCATACCAAAGCAAGCATGATGTTGGTTTAGTGTGTCTTTGTTTGATTTGGTTTAGTGTGTCTGTGTTTGATTTGGTGGGTTAGTGTGGGTCAGTGTATCTGTGTGTTTGACTTGGGTCAGTGTGTCTGTGTTTGACTTGGGTCAGTGTGTCTGTGTTTGACTTGGGTCAGTGTGTCGGTTAGTGTGTCTCTGTTTGACTTGGGTTAGTGTGTCTGTGTTTGACTTTGGTCAGTGTGTCTGTGTTTGACTTGGGTCAGTGTGTCTGTGTTTGACTTGGGTCAGTGTGTCTGTGTTTGACCTGGGTCAGTGTGTCTGTGTTTGACTTCAGTGTGTTAGTTTGACTTGGGTTAGTGTGTCTCTGTTTGACTTGGGTCAGTGTGTCTGTGTTTGACTTGGGTCAGTGTGTCTGTGTTTGACTTGGGTCAGTGTGTCTGTGTTTGACTTGGGTTAGTGTGTCTCTGTTTGACTTGGGTCAGTGTGTCTGTGTTTGACTTGGGTTAGTGTGTCTGTGTTTGACTTGGGTCAGTGTGTCTGTGTTTGACTTTGGTCAGTGTGTCTGTGTTTGACTTGGTTGTATGGTGTGCAAACTTGGGTCTGCTTTGAAGGACTAGGTTTAGTGTGTGTTTGACTTGGGTTAGTGCTTCTGTTAGTGTTTCTGTGTTTGACTGGCTTTAGTGTGTCTGTATGACTTACATTAGGCAGTTATCTGAGTAGAATCTTCATCATTTAGAGTCTGTTGTTGCCACAGAGACGAACTTGTAGATAACCCCATGTAGATGTGTTTTCATCAGTCGAATATATTCTTTCAACTTAGAGGATTTCATAATTGATAAAGGAACGCAACATGTACCACCTATTCTGTGTATAAATTTCCCTTCAAAGTAATCGTGACGACAGGTCACATGACAAACATGCTTTGATGTATGAGATGAACACAACACCTGTAGCACGCCTAGATTACTCGTTAGATAACACAGGCATGCAAAGTAGGTTATAATGGTAAGATCAAAGATATACCAGCGCAGGCATGGAGCGATGACACCCTTGATTGTCTCCCCTTGAACATCGAGGTGACAGAGCCTTGTTTCTGTCGACTTCAGCCGGATACTTTTCCAACATGACATGAAGCCAGGGGACATTTGAAACCTGATAATTATGTTGTGAGAAGCATCTTCAGTGTTTGTGTGTTGGGTTGGAGGTGTAGTGGCTTGATGTGAAGGTGGGTTGGGTACAGGGGATGGGTGGCAGGCAGACAACAGGCGATGGAGAAAGGAGGAGGGTCTACTCAGGAGAGATGTGAACAGATGGCAACTGATGAATTAGTTCGTAGATCTGATAGATGTACGGACACTCTGAACAGGTACATAAACACATACAATGAACACCCATGTGTCTTGAACATGTACAATGAATGAACACTTACCATGAACATGTACCTTGTATAGGTATCATAAACACGTATCATGAACACTTACCATGAACAAACACATATTATGAACATGTACCATGAATGTGTACCTTGAACGTGTATGTGTACCATAAACATGTACCATTAATACATGTACCTTAGGTGTACCTCATTTAGAACAGCGTGTTTCTATGGACATGGTTTAATACATGTTAGGTGCTCATTTAGAAAGTAGAGAGCTCAGTGATAGACTCTATAGCCACCCACCCATTCTCTCACGCTCACATATCCAGTAAGATGGTTGATGATGTTCTCTTTATTGAGACTCTGTTTACTGATCTGTCTACTGACATCTGTTTACTGATCTCCTGTTTACTGGCATTCTGTTTTCTGCTTATCTGTTTACTGACGTTCTGTTTACTGACGTTCTGTTTACTGATGTTCTGTCTACTGACATCTGTTTACTGATCCCCTGTTTACTGACATTCTGTTTACTGATGTTCTGTTTACTGGCATTCTGTTTACTGATGTTCTGTTTTGCTTCCAGGCTGACCTGGTGGAATATTACTACTTCTGGAAGAAAACTCCGTCTGCAGCATCAAATCGACCTCATCGGCGACATCGGCGCTCCGGACTGAAGAGCCAGACCACGAGGTCGACCAGCCAGCCCAGCGGCGACTACTGTAAGTTGCTACAGTTGTTGTTGTTGTTGTTGTTGTTGCTGTTGCTGTTGTTGCTGTTGTGTGCAGAATGTTGAGTCATCCATACTTACTAAAATGCTCTCTACCCGTGAAAATCCGGGTTAAAATTGGTCCTTAGTAACCCATGCTTGTCATAAGAAGAGACTAATGGGATCGGGTGGTCAGGCTTGTGATTTAGTTAATACATGTCATCATGTCCCAATTACGTAAATCGATGCTCATGCTGTTGATCACTGGATTGTCTGGTCCAGACTGGGTTATTTACATACCACCACATTATATATATATATATAAACAACAAAAAATTGCTGAGTGACAGCATCTTCTGTAAACAGGTGCAACAAGGCACCAAAGGTGCTCTCTGTTCCCTGTTTGAACAGCATCTTTATGTATGAACAGGTGCAGGGTTACCCCTGTGATGAACATTTGACACCTGCAAGCAAAATTTACCGACATGTGATGGTCCCACTGGAATAGTGGTCAAAGCCGCTCACATTATTTTCTCATTGCACGCATTACAGATATTTGTATGCTATAGATACACTTTTTAGGATCAAATCATGGATTCAACAGAAAACTGTGATGTGGGGTCAAATTTGGTTTAAATATCTAAGCCTATTGTAAGCATGGATCTAAGTTTTCAGTAAGTCATTTCATCTGGTGAATTCCATACCCTCTACTGACAGGTGTTGTGTACTTATCAATGACCCGTGCCATGATTTGCAAAATGGTTGATTGGTGCCATGAAACCCATTTTTATGGTTATTCATGTATCAAGTGCATAAGGTTAGGTTAAAGTGACTGTTTGCCTAAAGAGGGCTTACCATATTATTATTTATCCAGTTTAAAATGGATACAATTTCAAATTAGGAATCTACGTTTAAGGAAAGTTGTGGATTTTTATGATCCTTAGCAAAGTGTGAGTAGTATATATAGACAGGGCAGATATTTATACTGTAAACGTACTTATTTTCGCGTGGTGCAATTTTCGCGGAATTGACAGTTTAGACTACATCGCGCGGTCAATTATTCGCGCAATCAGTAATTGCCGGAACTGCCAGCTGTCTCTTTGGCCGCCACTAATAGCTGTGAAAACAAACAGAGTGGCTTAACCTGTCAGGTGGCGTTTATTGCGTACTCACAGGAAATCCCTATCTGTGCGATATACTAGTACACAGTAATCCGTTTACTCATGGAAGACTGAAAAACACATCAGTCTTATGTTCCGAATTCTGACGATCTGACGAATTAACTTCTACTGTATATGAAGCTCTTTGTGATTTCAAACAAGCCGGGTTGTTGTGAATGAGATGATTGAGTGTTAAGTGACTATTTGCTTCATGATGTACTGGTAAATAAAATCTTAATGAATAAATAAAATACTGCTGTATTATTTCTTTCGAGTCGTTTCATGGTAATCTGTTTTGTATCAAACCATCTGTCATGTGACCAATTTCCATGGTGGCCTAACACACATTGCTGTTTTAAGCTAATTCAGGTGATGGGATTTGGCTCATTATTTAATTATGTTTTGGGAAATACATTACAGCGACAGTTAAGTATGATTCTTTATGCTACTATCAGTCATTTTAATATTCCCGTAGATTTCTCTCTTCAAACTTGATGTGTTATGGTAACAACTCAGGGCGGCGTGGGATTGTATAAATTTTCGGCTAAAATGTTTTTGAAAGCGAAAATAAAACCTGCGCGAGAAATATAATACGTTTACAGTATACTATATAAACAGGTAAACATATTTGTATGCTATATGAACAGGTAAACATATTTGTATGCTACTATAACAGGTACAGATATTGTTTCTCTGCTGTACGAAACACCCACAAAAATTCTGCAACAAAAGGAATCTGTTTAGGAATAATTGAGATGCAAAGATATTTAACTGTGGAATGCTGGATAACCTTGAGCTAAAGCAGATCTAAAATTGGTTAACAAATTCCTCACCTTCTATTGCAATTCCCTACCGTAAATGGCAAGCACATACTTGCATACAGAATATTCTTGATGTTCAGCGACTATTTGCTCAATTTCACAAGCTTAGGGACAAAACAAATTGCAATAATATAATGTTAGTCTCTATTCAATTGCAACTTGACATTTCTATAAAATAAAACAATGATATAAACTATTGATTAAGAGGGGATATCAACATACTTTGTGTCTCTAAACATCGATGTTACGACTCTCTGAATCCCATGAATACTGAAAAGCTAATCGTTAATGAGAACGCGTCTGGTTATTGTAAGATGGAAATGAATTATCGAGGTTGGAATATGATGGCGGTTGATTTTGTTTCTTGAATTATTGTTAATTATTGTAACAATGAGTTCATGAATAATAGGGTTGTCCAATATTAAGACTTTATCTCCCTCACTGGGTAGTGAGCAGCATGGACAGGTCAAGGTCAAGGTCAGTGGGGGAAGGAGAGGGGTCATGTAGTGAACCTGTCTGGCTGACACTGGTATAATCTCTAACTACCAGCAGCTGTAGTCCACCTCAGGTTTGCCTGATATCTGATACCATTGATTAGTTGGGAGGGAAATAGTCTGTAGCATCAGGGCCTTTCATGTGTGGACAGGAGAAGTGATTGACAGCCTGTTTGGTTCAGGTCAGGTCAGGGGTTGGAGGTCACGGTTCACTGGGTCACATCCCAGAAGTGGTAATGATATGTCAGCCCTGAATCATCATTAAGCAGGTAACTATGGCAACCACTTACTTCAAGAACAATCTCATTTTGAAACGGAGATCTGTTTCTTTGGCAAGTAAGACTAGTGGCGTGTAGTATGGCTCTCGGATTCTCCTGTGTGAGTGGAGTGTTTATGAATAACCCCCAACGCATGTTTTCCACCACCTCTGCTCTCAGCATCATCGATCAATCATCCGTAGGCTTCACTGGAGTCACAACCCTGCCACTGAAGTCGGCTTTGTCTTGCCAGGCTTAATAGCGAACACAATCGCTATACCAGCCTCCCATTTGCTGCTTTGTTTGATTTGACACGCTGCATCAGCTTGCAAGGAGTCTTGTGATTGGTTGATTGTTCCGGTTGTGAGAAAGACAAGTTACCAGAGAGTGACACAGCAAGTAAACATTCCCATCTGGTTGTGCAGTGCTGGGCCCAGCGGCTTGTTTAGATTCATTTGGCTGGGGCGACATCCCGAACCCATGTGTTTGATGGGCTGCGCCAGGTAAACACACACAGTTTACCCACAATGCCCAGGATCCCTATACTAATGTCCTAGAGAAACAAGACTTGACAAGACAAGCAACTCAATCCATGTTACCTTGTTATAGTGAATACCTTCTTGTGAATACGGTGTCTCTTGTCAACAGGCCCTTGTCAAATGTGGTACACTCCTCGCCTCCAGACTCTCCCGGGTTTAATACCTGCTTGTTGGATGGGCTAAACACTGCCTGTTCTTGTTGGATGGGCTAAACACTGCCTGTTCTTGTTGGATGGGCTAAACACTGCCTGCTCTTGTTGGATGGGCTAAACACTGCCTGCTCTTGTTGGATGGGCTAAACACTGCCTGATCTTGTTGGATGGGCTAAACACTGCCTAATCTTGTTGGATGGGCTAAACACTGCCTGCTCTTGTTGGATGGGCTAAACACTGCCTGCTTTTGTTCCTTGTTGGACGGGCTAAACACTGCCTGATCTTGTTGGATGGGCTAAACACTGCCTGTTCTTGTTGGATGGGCTAAACACTGCCTGTTGCTTGTTGGATGGGCTAAACACTGCTCTTGTTGGATGGGCTAAACTCGCCTCTGTTGCCTGCTTGTTGGATGGGCTAAACACCGCCTGATCTTGTTGGATGGGCGATCTTGTTGGATGGGCCAAACACCGCCTGATCTTGTTGGATGGGCTAAACACTGCCTGATCTTTGGATGGGCTAAACACTGCCTGATCTTGTTGGATGGGCTAAACACAGCCTGATCTTGTTGGATGCCTGTTCTGTTGGATGGGCTTAAACACGCCTGGCTTGCCTGATCTTGTTGGATGGGCTAAACACAGCCTGATCTTGTTGGATGGGCTAAACACTGCCTGATCTTGTTGATGGGCTAAACACTGCCTGATCTTGTTGGATGGGCTAAACACAGCCTGATCTTGTTGCTTGATCTTGTTGGATGGGCTAAACACCGCCTGATCTTGTTGGATGGGCTAAACACTGCCTGATCTTGTTCTTGGCTTAAACACTGGATCTTGCTGGATGGGCTAAACACTGCCTGATCTTGTTGGATGGGCTAAACACTGCCTGCTCTTGTTGGATGCTTGTTGGATCTGCTGGATGGGCTAAACACTGCCTGATCTTGTTGGATGGGCTAAACACTGTTGATCTTGTTGGATGGGCTAAACACTGCCTGATCTTGTTTGCTGGCTAAACACCGCCTGATCTTGCTGGATGGGCTAAACACTGCCTGATCTTGTTGGATGGGACACCGCCTGGCTAAACACAGCCTGATCTTGTTGCTTGTTGGATGGGCTAAACACTGCCTGATCTTGCTAAACAATCACCTGATCTTTGGATGGGCTAAACACTGCCTGATCTTGTTGGATGGGCTAAACACTGCCTGATCTTGTTGCCCTTGTTGGATGGGCTAAACACTGCCTGATCTTGTTGGATGGGCTAAACACTGCCTGATCTTGTTGGATGGGCTAAACACTGCCTGATCTTGTTGGATGGGCTAAACACCGCCTGATCTTGTTGGATGGGCTAAACACTGCCTGATCTTGTTGGATGGGCTAAACACCGCCTGATCTTGTTGGATGGGCTAAACACTGCCTGATCTTGTTGGATGGGCTAAACACTGCCTGATCTTGTTGGATGGGCTAAACACCGCCTGATCTTGTTGGATGGGCTAAACACTGCCTGATCTTGTTGGATGGGCCAAACGCCTGGATGGGCTAAAACACAGCCTGATCTTGTTGGATGGGCTAAACACTGCCTGATTTTGTTGGATGGGCTAAACACAGCCTGATCTTGTTGGATGGGCTAAACAATCTGCCTGATCTTGCTGGATGGGCTAAACACTGCCTGCTCTTGTTGGATGGGCTAAACACAGCCTGATCTGGGTTGCTCTTGTTGGATGGGCTAAACACAGCCCTGATGGGCTTGCCTGATCTTGTTGGATGGGCTAAACACTGCCTGATCTTGTTGGATGGGCTAAACACGCCTGATCTTGTTGGATGGGCTAAACACTGCCTGATCTTGTTGGATGGGCTAAACACTGCCTGATCTTGTTGGATGGGCTAAACACTGCCTGATCTTGTTGGATGGGCTAAACACTGCCTGATCTTGTTGGATGCCAAACAAACACACTGCCTGCTCTTGTTGGATGGGCTAAACACCAGCCTGATCTTGTTGGATGGGCTAAACACCGCCTGATCTTGTTGGATGGGCTAAACACTGCCTGATCTTGTTGGATGGGCTAAACACTGCCTGCTCTTGTTGGATGGGCTAAACACTGCGTGATCTTGTTGGATGGGCTAAACACTGCCTGATCTTGTCACTAGACTCCCAGAGGTTTAATACAGGGTGAACTGAACGCAGGCTGATATTGTCTCCTGACCCTGTGTAATTAATATCTGATTGTGACATGACACTGTGTAATTAATATCTGATTGTGACATGAACTAAACGCAGGCTGATATTGTCTTTGCTGTCACTGTAGTTAATACCTGGTTGTGAGTTGAACTAAACATGGTTGTCTGTCTCACAGTCCCTGAACCACATTATTTTCCCAACTGCCTAGACCTCCCTGCCATGCTAAAGCCCTAAATGAAGCCTAGTCTAATATTTCCTCAGGTCTGAATCTCCATTACTGTGGCTATTTATCAATTTAAATGGGTTTATTTGTTACTATCAAAATTATATATATTCAGAGACTAAGAGTTAGTCTATAAACAATGTTTATCTTCCCTTTACCCACAGTGCAGCGTTTTGATGCCCTCCACCTTATAGGTCATATTGGTGGCATTCCCCAGTATGTTGTCTAAGCAAGCAGCACAGACAGTTGCCATGGAGACAGCATGACGTAAACACAAATAATTCTCAATCAAACTCACATTTACATTTGAAATCAATTTCAGAAAAGTAAAATTGCTGATGCAAATAGTCACAGGTCCTTGCTGTCAGTGGGGGGAGTTGGTGTCTGCCCTAGATCGCTACAACAAACCCTCTACATTGTGGACCCTGATCACTGAGCTTTGACCTATAACAAAACCTCTACATTGTGGACCCTTAGCAGAATGATCACTGAGCTTTGACCTATAACAAAACCTGTACATTGTGGACCCTTAGCAGAATGATCACTGAGCTTTGACCTATAACAAAAACTCTACATTGTGGACCCTACAGAATTGTGAGCTATGACCTATAACAAAACCTCTTAGTAGCAGAATGATCACTGAGCTTTGACCTACAACAAAAACACTACATTGTGGACCCTTAGTAGAATGATCAGTGAGCTTTGACCTACAACAAAACCTCTACATTGTGGACCCTTAGCAGAATGATCACTGAGCTTTGACCTATAACAAAAACTCTACATTGTGGACCCTTAGCAGAATGATCACTGAGCTTTGACATAAAACACACACTTTATTTTGTGGACCCTTTATAGTAGAATGATCAGGGAGCTGTCCGCACAAACAGTGTCTTTGTTGTGGACCCTTAGCAGAGTGATCGGGGAACTATGCCCGCAAACAGTGTCTTTGTTGTGGACCCTGAGTAGAGTGATCAGGGAGCTATGCCCACAAACAGTGTCTATGTTGTGGACCCTTAGAGTGATCAGGGAGCTATGCCCACAAACAGTGTCTATATTGTGGACCCTTAGAGTGATCGGGGAGCTATGCCCACAAACAGTGTCTATATTGTGGACCCTTAGAGTGATCGGGGAGCTATGCCCACAAACAGTGTCTATATTGTGGACCCTTAGAGTGATCGGGGAGCGGGAGTGCTATATTGTGACCCTTAGAGGATCGGGGAGCTATGCCTACAAACAGTGTCTATATTGTGGACCCTTAGCAGAATGTTCAGGGAGATCCCCAGGTAGTGATCCTAATTCTTCATGCTTGTGTTCGGCATTCTACCTGTGTGATATATAAGTTAAACCAGGTGCTTTGTGGGATGGTGGTTTGCCTATGTCCTATGTAATACTTTTTCTTTTTGATTTTTGTTTTATTTTAAACAATTAAAGTGAGTGAGTTTAGACTTACGCCACACTCAGCAGTATTCCAGCTATATGGCAGCGGTCTGTAAATAATTGAGTCTGGACCAGGCAATCCACTGATCAACGGTAGGAGCATTGATCTACGCAATTGGGAACCAATGACATGTGTCAACCAAGTCAGCGAGCCTGATCACCCGATCCTGTTAGTCGCCTCTTATGACAAGCATGGGTTACTTAAGATCAATATTCTAACCCGGACCTTCACGGGTATTTAAACAATAAAAAACAATGTTTACAATGACACATGCATAATACATATTTTCGCAATCACAGTGCCTCAACTGTCTAGCTTACACACTGATTCTCTCAGATTGACTCATTTAAACTGGCACACCAACTACCTCGGGAAAGACACACTGACTTGTTTGAACAGATACATTGCGACATAAAGGCCAGGTTTCTGAAATATGCTCGGTCTCAAATACAAACAGGGTTTAGTGAAATGTGTACAAAAAAATATCCCTAAGTACATGAGCGGATCCAGGAATTATGAGAGGGGGGTGGTTCAGGGGGTTTCGAAGCCAACGCAAAAAAAATCTTCAATGTGATCTTAAGTCATATGTAGATCCGCCAATGAAGTATATAATTTAGAATTGAAATGTCTCAAATATACCAAGCACCAAACATTTACCACATGGAATATAAGTGGAACCTGGGTGCCATAACAGACCTGCTGCTGGGCGATGTTTGAGCCCTAGTCTGCTTTGAATGACTGTAAAAAGTACCAATTTAATTTTTAAAAATTCCCAATTCCTCTAATTTACACAAGTAATAACCATAAACAATTAGATTAGGGGTGACCTTAATGGGTAGATTGTTTGGTGACATTGTGGATTGTGTGTCATTGAACCCAACAGGGTGGGTTGTTGCTCATGGCATCAATCACCAGTTATCGGCTCCAGACTCGATTGTTTACAAGGCGTGTAAGGGGAATATTGCTGAATGTTGCTGAGCGTTATATAAACTTATTACCCATATGGTAAGGAGGACACAGGTTTGTATTTTTCCTGTAAATCCCCAGGGAGGATACATTTTATGGTGAACGTTGATTGGCTGTTTCAGAATAAAACAGCCAATCAATGTGTAGGGATATGGGGATTCCCCACAACACGGGTTTCCTTATAGAGAATGCTGTATTTTTTCATTTTAGCGTTATTTAGATCCAAAACTGATAGGGTAATAATTACAATAACCAACTCGTGGGCAATAATTACAATAACCAACTCGTGGGTAATAATTACAATAACCAACTTGTGATGGTAATGACAGATTGCTCGTTAGTTATTGCCTGAATATACTGCACCGAGTGTGTGTTTGGTTGTAAAGTTGGTTTGTGTTTTCAGTGGACCAAAGCTCAGCCAGTGAGGTGTCGGAGGATTCGGACGACAGCGATGGAGGACGGGACTTGACCACGTACGCCTGCAGGAAATGTTTCACAACAAGTGAGTCGTACACCCTCTTTGTGAGTGAGTGAGTTTGGTTTTACGCCGCTTTTAGCAATATTCCAGCAGTATCATGGCGGGGGGACACCAGAAATGTGCTTCACATATTGTACCTATGTGGGGAATTGAATCTGAAGCTAGATGAGTGGACGCTTTAACCATTAGGCTACACCACTAATCCCAGTGTTTGTGGATCTAGCAACTGAATGCATGTCCATCCAGCCTAACAGCGATCCAGGTGATCCGTGATGTGTTGAAATGTATCAAATAGCAGTGCTTCGGATAAAGGCTGAATTTGCGTATGTTTTGTAAGAAAGGTTACAGGTATGAATGTAATTAAGTTTGATGTGTACAAATTTTGGTCATTAATAAGTAAATGCATCCCATTTTGTACTTTGGACAATCTAGAAAAAATTACACTTGCATCTGCGTTGTTATCACACAAACAAGGGAAAAATCTATATGTTTGAGTATTTCATCACGTCATACGAGAATTTTGAATGCAAGGCCAGGCTTTAAGCAGCTGTTGTAGTTTGTTTTTGGGATTGGCTAATATTCATTGACTCGCCTTGAGAAGTGGCGAGTCATTTGTCTGGTTGAGAGTGAATTACGTACAGACCTTAATGCTACAAGGGATGGTGGGTAGCCTTGTTGTTGAAGCATTCACTTGTCACGCCGAGGACCCGGGTTTGATTCCCCACATGGGTACAATGTGTGAAGCCCATTTCTGGTGTCCCTGCCGAGATATTACTGGAATATTGCTAAAAGCGGCGTAAAACCAAACTCACGTCATGTTATAGTGGAATTTTACCGACATCAAACAATATTCACTCACTTTCACATACAAGAAATGTCTTTTGTGTTGGTAACAACCGTCAGTGTGGTCGGACAGTGTTTTTGTTTTTTAACTGAACTGGAGCGAGTATATTTTTATAAGGGAGACAATGTTTTCATCAGATCGTTCAAGTAATGGATCGCTGAAAAACTGCTGTTTACAGTGTTGGGGCAAGAAATAAACATGTTGACTAGATATGCTGAAAACTAAACAAATGTACAACTGAATCCCAGGGTTGGAAGCATCTGAGATACAATACTGGCTGGATCCAGAGCAGATGCTTCACGATCTGGGGCTTCATTATTTTGTGAAAGACAAATTAAAATTGAAGATTTAGATATTGTGAATCTAATGTCCGCTGAATCTCAACACAGAATGCTCACAGACAAGATATGAGTCATTTCTCAAGGAGAAACTGAATTTGTGAAAAAAGGTTAATCCGTTAACAAAAACACATAAAAAGGGAAATATTGGATTGGGAAATGTCTTAAAGTTTCTCTGTGTCTAAATACCTCTTCTGGCGCTGAGCTGTAATGGGACATTTCCTCTGCGTAGCTTTGTTCCATATTAACAACACTTGACGTAGCTAATTGTGGCATAAGCTGGACCAGCTATTGATCACAAAGTGAAAGTACGCGGTTATCACAATTGATTTAGTTGGACGAAGGTCCTGAGCTTTATGCAGAGTTTATGTACGGGAAGATTTAGAGATGGGCCGCCAATAGCGATGTGAGAGCTACTCGGCAGCAGGTTATTGTGGGTGCGAGGGGATGGGCTTTGTGAAGATTAAACACTCAGTTAGTGATGTCGCTGTCAAGTCATGAGCTGGCTGTAATAATGCCAGTATTAGCCCGCCAGATTACACAGGGAAGATGGCCGCCATGGCCGGCCGGGTCGCGCTTCCTCATTACGGAGACATGTTCTGTGTCCGCACCGCTTTTATCACTGCCGTGTTTGAAGAGAACGCATTGATTTTTCACATGAGCCAAGTGTCTGTGTTCATTATGAGCAAGTTGCCTCACGCAGGAAGACATCGATACAAGCAGTCACTTGGTGGCAGACCGCCGCTGGTCCTGCTAGTGCTGGGTGGACGGGGGACAGTGAGGGCAGGGTGGACTGGGGGCAGGGTGGATGGGGACAGTGAGGGCAGGGTGGATGGGGACAGTGAGGGCTGGGTGCACGGTGGCAGTGAGGGCAGGGTGGATGGGGACAGTGAGGGCAGAGTAGATGGGGACAGTGAGGGCAGGGTGGATGGGGACAGTGAGGGGAGGGTGGATGGGGACTGTGAGTTAGTACAGGCTTGAGAGAAGATTGCCAGAACAAAGTAGATGAAGGGAAGACATAATAGGTGTATGGACGGTTGTCGAAACAGGGTAGATGAAGGGGCGGACATCACAGGTGGATGGACGGTTGTCGGAACAGGGTAGATGAAGGGAAGACATAATAGGTGTATGGACGGTTGTCAGAACAGGGTAGATGAAGGGCGGACATCATAGGTGGATGGACGGTTGTCGGAACAGGGTAGATGAAGGGTGGACATCATAGGTGGATGGACGGTTGTCGGAACAGGATAGATGAAGAGCGGACATCATAGGTGGATGGTCGGTTGTCGGAACAGGGTAGATGAAGGGAAGACATAATAGGTGTATGGACGGTTGTCAGAACAGGGTAGATGAAGGGCGGACATCATAGGTGGATGGATGGTTGTCAGAACAGGGTAGATGAAGAGCGGACATCATAGGTGGATGGACGGTTGTCGGAACAGGGTAGATGAAGGGAAGACATAATAGGTGTATGGACGGTTGTCAGAACAGGGTAGATGAAGGGAAGACATAATAGGTGGATGAATGGTTGTCAGAACAGGGTAGATGAAGGGCGGACATCATAGGTGGATTGACGGTTGTTGGAACAGGGTAGATGGATGGACGGTTGTCGGAACAGGGGAGATGAAGGGCGGACATCATAGGTGGATGGACAGTTGTCGGAACAGGGTAGATGAAGGGCAGACATCATAGGTGGATGGACAGTTGTCGGAACAGGGGAGATGAAGAGCGGACATCATAGGTGGATTGACGGTTGTCGGAACAGGGTAGATGAAGGGCGGACATCATAGGTGGATTGACGGTTGTCGGAACAGGGTAGATGAAGAGCGGACATCATAGGTGGATGGACAGTTGTCGGAACAGGGTAGATGAAGAGCTGACATCATAGGTGGATGGACAGTTGTCGGAACAGGGTAGATGAAGGGCGGACATCATAGGTGGATGGACAGTTGTCGGAACAGGGTAGATGAAGGGCGGATGTCATAGGTGGATGGAAGGTGGTCAGCACAAATTTGGAGGGAGGGCTGTCAGTACAGCATAAACAAAGTGTTTATAGGGAGGTAGAGGGCTGGCAGGATCGGTGCAGGAATGATCTGGTCAGTGTTCAGTGAGACTTCCTTGATTGCTGTCAGTTTAGTGTGGTACAGAGAGCAAGCAGGACCATACAGAGGGGTTTGGGAACATGTCTGTGAGAGAGATAGGGCTGACAGGGAGATGCCCCATTGGTCAGAGGATACTGGAACAAGAACAGGAACAAGGGTGTTCTTGTCTCCACAGCAGCACATCTACAGAGGAAGTAGCGGCAATAGACTCACAGCAGACCGAACACTAGGAAGCTACAACAGTCAGTCGATGTGTTTACATCAGAACATACTGCTGTTGTCCCCAGAGAATGGATGGACATCACTGACTCTAAACCTTTTAAAATGGGCTTTCTACCCTAGGGAATCCCAAGGGTTAAAGCCAACATCGGGGGCTGAGAGACCGGACAGCATTGCCTGCGCTTGTGACAGCGTGAAGGAGGATCTGCTCTCTCAGTCGGCAGTAACAGCCTCTCAGCGTGCTCTCTCACTGCTGCACTACGGCTGCATGTGGCTTTGAGGCTGGCTGACTTACCCAGAGAACCAATAACTAGCGAAAGAAAACATCATAAACTTTACCGCGGATGAGTAGCAATGTCTTGCTCTGTTAGCTGCCTGGTAGTATCACTGCTTTATAACCCATCCCCTTTTTGCGTCGGCGTTGCCAGGTTCAGGAGCTGTGAATATTGACTTGCTGCTGACGACCCTAATTTGATTATTTCAGCAAGATGCTTACGCTAGAGGCAGCTGATTGTACAGGGCCATGCCTTGATGGGCTTGTTTCTGAACATGAAAGCAGGTCGCAGATTTCTTTTTAAAGACGCAGGAAAGTTGTGGGAGACATTAAGTAATGGCAAGCCTCGGTGGGGCTGTGTCAGGGTCGGCCTTCTGATACAGCTGCCGTTACTGAAGGTAGTCAAGGCAGTCCTGCTGATGGCCGTTTTGGCGTCAGACATTCTCTGTGCGTATGCCTCCAATATTCCACCCCCAACTTGGCTTCTCCCCTCAACTGGACTCTCATTAACCAGTCAGCTTCTTATGTTGGTTGCCATAGTGACAGATTGGTCTCAAGTTGGCTTGGTGTCAATGCAGTATGTTGTTTAAGGAGATCAGTAAACTACAGATGACTGTCTAATTAGACAAAGCAGACAGATGAACAAGACAGATGAATTCCTAGAATGCAAACAGCTCGACAGTTCTGGGGAAAGAGACGCTAGTTGACAGATCAGAGAAAGATGCTAGGTGACAGATGACGGAGAAAAAGACTACTTGGCAGAGGGTTTCTTATTTGAGGATCCATTGTGTGTTGACATAAATATGATAAAGCTGAGAAGCATATTTGCCTGAGAGTGTGACTCGGTTAACAAATTATGAGTGAGTGAGTTTAATTTTACGCCGCTTTTAGGGAATCGAACGCGGGTCTTCGGCGTGACGAGCGAACGCTTTAACCACTAGGCTACCCAACCGCCCTAACAAATTATGACAGTGACAGTGAATAAATAGACAAAGGAGTCTTTTGTCGTACAAAATGGGTCAATAAAGAAATTAATTTGTAAATAATACATTTACACCAATATGTTTTCCTGAAGGCTAATTCCATGTTTTGGTTACCAACACCACCTCAGATGACAGGCATTAGCCTCGGTGTTGTCAGCGGTTGGATTTATCACTCATTAATATTAAACATTAATGAGTCGGTAGTTGTACCTTAAATAGTTAATGTCCTGACATGCTATGAAGGTGGAACATGCAGTGGTATAGTTCCCTGCAGGCAATCAGTGGGAGGGTCTCCATCTGCCATCACCACAGGGGATGATTAATACATTCTCATATTCTCACATTCTCATATCATATCTGCGGTATTAATGACCCCACTGGCTGTTCCATCCTTAAATGAACTCGTCGTCACCTGCATGTTTGTTATTTCTCCAGGAGACAATACTGCGTCATGTGACACTGGACAGATTCCACTGACCAAGTCAATTGATACAACATAAAAATCTAATACTTTTATTTTCATTTTTCTGAGTGCTATTTTCGACTGATTTGAGAAATAAACAGATATAACTACAAAATCTGAAACATGGAACAAACCAACTTTTCAAACTTAGATTAAAATCAGTGTATGAAAGAAGGCCCTGTCCGACCGCACGATACAGGCTAGATTTGTGACGGATGGTCTAAATTTACCGATTGTCTGGTGAAAATTTTAGATGTTCCATACGTCTCAGTAAATTCACCATATCTTGGTGTCTGGTTTGGTTAACTTCATTTTGGACTGGTAACATTTTCAAGTTAGCCCTGATGTGTGGCTGAGTTTGGGGCTTATTTCATACACTGTTAAAATGCACTTTTATTTCAATCAGTTCAATAGTTCAGCGAAATATCTGTCTGTCATGAAATTAGAGAATACTGATATGGAAACAAAGCTCTTGAGTCAGTTCTGTTGAAAGGTTGAAAGACAACAATATCATTGTGTCAGTTTGCTTTTCAAGTCCCTCGGGCACGGGTCAAGTGTTCGCTTCTGTAGGTCTGACGTAGCCTAGTGGTTAAAGTGTTCTCTCGGCACGCCAAAAACTTGGGTTCGATTCCCAATATGGTTATAATGAGTGAAGCCCATTTCTGGTGTCGCCAGACATGATATTGCTGGAATATTGCTAAAAGCTGTTTAAAACAAAATACACTCACTCACTCGGTAGGTCTAATGTCATCCATCATGTATTCAGGAAATATGGCTATGTACAGTGCTTGGCAAAACATGTATTAGTACAACTTAACACTGAAATATGTAACATTGTGTATTTCCACAGTACATGTCAGAACTTTCGTACAGCAAACTATGGTATAACAAGCTCATAGGGACCACTAACTATAGTTCGTTATAGCTGCAGCTCATTACACACATTTCAACAAGGGTACTAACGGGATCAGGTGGTCAGGTTCGCTGACACATGTCATCGTATCCCAGTTGCGTAGATCGATGCTCATGATGTTTATCACTGGATTGTCTGGTCCAGACTCCATTATTTGCAGACCGCCGCCATATAGCTGGAATATTGCTGAGTGCGGCGTAAAACAAACAATCCAATCCGATCGACTGAAATATACAACCAGGGGCAGATCATTATAAGCATGTTTGTTTATATACCTTTAAAGTATATCAGCTGTTTGGTGTTAGATTTTTGCATGTATCAGCTATTTGATATAGACAGACAAGCCGTCTTAATGGACTATTTAGTGTATATTAACCCCTCGGTGTATATCAACGATTAGGTTTATGTGTATATTTGATATGTATCCACTATTTGGGGTATATATCAGTATATGTATATCAACCGTTAGGGATACATGAAGTATGTGGTATATGTCAGTATTGGTGTGTGAGTATAGTGTTAGATATACCCGGTCTGTCAGTGGTATATGTCAGTATTGGTGTGTGAGTATAGTGATAGATATACCCACTCTGTCAGTGGTATATGTCAGTATTGGTGTGTGAGTATAGTGAGAGATATACCCACTCTGTCAGTGGTATATGTCAGTATTGGTGTGTGAGTATAGTGATAGATATACCCGGTCTGTCAGTGAGTGAATGAATGTTCTGTTTGGTCTGTTCCAGCCTCCAAGGACTGGCACCATGCCGGTAAAGACAAGGCCCTCCTGTGCACGCAGTGTCGGCTCTTCTTTAAGAAATATGGGGAGGAACGGCCCATAGACCGGCCCCGCGAACCCCCGGCATTCCTGTTTAAACCGCATACAGGAAGAACGCCAACTGTGACAACATTAACGGCAAACACAACATGAGAACAAGGAGAAGCAACAACGCGACAGTTCATCTGAAGGACATTTTCATTAAGGACATTCATCTGAAGGACATTTTCATTAAGGACAGTAAGTGGAAGGACATTTTCATTAAGGACATTCATCTGAAGGACATTCATTGAGGACATGATCATCCAACAACTGTAATGTGATTTCACAAAGTTTTATATTTCAAGAATCTACACTGTCTAGTGGTCTGCTGTTATGTTTTGAAAGGTTATCTCCCTTTGCTGCCGGAATCTGGTTCTTGAAAATATAACATGGAGCCCAATGTCTATAAACCCAGAAATAAACTTTTGTTGTTGCTGTATGTCTTAAATATGTTTCTTGTCTTGTTTCCAGACGGGAAATAAAGGAAAGAAGAAAGACAGATTGAGTACAAGTAGCCCTGACATTGTTGATAGCCCAGTAAACGGAGCAAGCACCCAGAAAGGTCGCATTTCTCCAGGAACAGTAAGCACTTGCAGTAGTAGCAGCAGCACGGATAAAGATAGCAAGAGAAAGTCCACAGTAAGTAGCAGCACTGATAAAGATAGCAAGAGAAAGTACCTGTTTATAAATGGCAAAATAGCATGAGAAAGTCTGCTTTAAATAGCTGCATGAATAAATATAGCAAGAGAAAGTGCCTGTTTAATAGTAGCAAAATAGCCTGAGAAAGTCTGCTTTAAATGGAAGCATTGATAAATATAGCAAGAGAAAGTGCCTGTTTAATAGTAGCAAAATAGCCTGAGAAAGTCTGCTTTAAATGGCAGCATGGATAAAGATAGCAAGAGAAAGTGCCTGTTTAATAGTAGCAAAATAGCCTGAGAAAGTCTGCTTTAAATGGCAGCATGGATAAAGATAGCAAGAGAAAGTGCCTGTTTAATAGTAGCAAAATAGCCTGAGAAAATCTGCTTTAAATGGCAGCATGGATAAAGATAGCAAGAGAAAGTGCCTGTTTAATAGTAGCAAAATAGCCTGAGAAAATCTGCTTTAAATGGCAGCATGGATAAAGATAGCAAGAGAAAGTAGTTCATCGTGTATCAGTGTTCTACTCTACTTTTGCAGAACAAGGATCGATTGTTGAGTGGCAGAAAACGTCTCAATAACTCAGAGACTGAGGACGGGAAACTTTCCAAGAAGAAGAAACCTCAGGTAATTCAGTCCGAAATCATTAGGCCAGGATGACCCCAGGTCAAACAATAACCTTCCATTTCCTTCAGGTCCCTCGCACATAGCAATGCTGTAGCTGGACCAATAGTCTGAGATGCTGAAATTTGCTGTAGAGATTTGCCTTCCTTTGGCACATCAGAAACCTAAACTTGAGCATTTGAATCCCTGCCCAACGCCTAGTATGATTTACCTATCTTTATCTCTAACTTTGATTCTGGCCCTAGTAATTACATCAAGCACTGTCCTCTTCTTTGAAACTGCATGAAGGATTGTCAGTTGTATACCTGGCGACGTTCAAACTCTGATTGTTGTAAAACTTGTTGTTCCAGGAACGGTCCGATTCGGATTCTCTCTCAGACAGCAGCAGTAACGAGGACGACGAGATCGAGGCTGATGCCGACCTTGAAGAGGTCAATCAGGTATGTCCATGCAGGCTATAGGGCCATTATGGCTGAATGTACAAATATCTTCCTGTCAGGAAACTGATGATTCATACAGCTTCTTTAATTGTGGTTTAAATTGTGCATCCTCACCCCGGCCGTGTTCACAAAGAGATGTAGTGGTTAGGCAACTATTATCATAGAGTTAAGGCAGAATAAGACCTTCGCCAACTTAATCAGAGGGGAATCTGGGGACCTTGAAAATCCTAAAATTTGTACGATATAGGTTCATGTAGGTTTTTGACAGAATGTCTTTTCTTTCAGGACGATCTGAGTTCGAGTTCACCGCCGTCAACACCAAGTCCGATCGACAACGAGGAATTTAAACTGCAGAAAGACTGCATCAAACCAGCACCCCAACTCCCAGTGCAATCACCTTCCCATCATTCTCTGCTGTATCAAACTGTTGGCGAGAATCATATGAATCTACCACAGCGACAGTCCCCTGTTACCGTGGGCCCCGCCCACCCAGTTCCCCTGGTGCCTGTTCTAGAGGGCACCACCAGTCCACTTCCTGTTTTACAGGAGCCGACATTGAGGTCCGAACTGCACCCATCAACACCATCAGCAGTAACAGTGCCGGCCCTCCTCCCTGCACAACCATCGCTCACAATACCCCCAGCATCACAATCCCTGGCCCCATCACAGCCCCTTCCCTCCACGACACAATCACCAACCACCCCAGTATCACAACCCCATCCATTCCAGCCTGTATATGCCACTCCGCTACCCCAATCACAACCTCCGCACCCCCCACCCCTATTGCCGTCCCTGCCCAACACAAACCCCACTCCCCCCAGTGCCAGGTTTGATTCCCATCAAGCAGGAACCCAAGTCTCCGCCTCGTGCTCGCACGTGGGAAGAAACAATAAACAAGGCAGTCGATAACGGAATCACCAATCCTCATCAAGCAGACGTCAAACCCCCATCATTCAACATGAGCATAGACTCACGAATAGACTCAAGAATAGACTCACGAATAGACTCTCGTTTAGACACTCGTGTAGATTCTCGTCTAGATTCTCGCGTAGATTCTCGCCTAGACTCTCGAATAGATCCTCGAATAGACTCTCATATTGACTCTCGAATAGACTCTCGCATTGACCCTGATAGGGTCCGGATGCAAGTGAAGCTCGAAGAAAGGGATGTGCCCAGCTTCCTCCCGTCTGTGCCCGCCCCGGTGCGGACCTCAACTCCGAACCCCGCTCCAACCTCCATCCCCGTCCATCCCTCACAACCAACAATCGAGGGTCCTGGTCTCACCCCAAGTGTTGTCATGGAAACAGAACCACCATCATCCAATGCACAGCCAGAGCCTGAAGTGGTGCAAATTGACCAAGATGATGATGAGAGTGATGATGATCGAACGGGGACTTTGAGCCCTGGCCCCGATCCAACACCGTGTAGTAAGGAGGTTCATCGAAGCAAGGCCGCAATGTAAGGACACACATATATCTCACATAAAAACTGACCATTTTATTGTTCATGATACATTTAAGGATTGTTCCTTTTGACTTTTAATTTCTTTATCAATTCGTCATAATCGGGTTTGTAATGGTGTTCACCAACTTGTAAGACATCACTATGGAGATCGGGTTGTCAGTTTTGTTGAAGGTAAAACAACTGTTTTACTTGTTCCAGATTCATCCAGATCCTTAACCGTGGAGCCAACAACTCCTGTTCCCGATGTGACCTCGTCTTCCGGCCGTTCCCAAACTCCAGCCTGGCCAAAAAGCGAGAAGATCGGGAACGAAAGTCCTCCCAGCCAACACAACCAGTACGAGAGGAGAAACCAGCGGCGGCAGCAGCAGCAGCAGCAGCAGCAGCAGCAGCAATCAAACGCACGGAGACCCCGCCCCGGTCACACTCCGTCGAGGCGCACGTCTCCAGCTCTCACTCTCAGTCCACTCCGTACGCAGAGAGACACACACCCAGGTCGTCCCTCTACACAGACACGCCCGCTCTCCGGCAGCTCAGCGAGTACGCTCGCCCTCACGCAATGTCCAGTGAGTTGATGATGCAATGTTACTCCAAATCTTCTTCTCAACATTGTACGGGATTTATCAAAACAAGAAATAAAAGGGGTCATGTTTGGTAATTTTTATTTGAGAAAAGGTACGGACACAATGAAATATCGAGAAAGCTAGTCAAGGCTTCTTCATTTGTTTTCTGGGTATGGTACGCCAGGCGTGTTATATGAGAGTTATCTCCCTGTTACAGGTCAAGATATACCACGCTCAGTGCCCTACACTGTTGGTGGTATGGGGATCCCCCAGCAGATGGACCCCATGATGAGCTACAGACTTGCGATGTATCCCCCAGGATCTCGGGAAAGGTACGTCACTTTGTGTCCAATCATGCTGTCCAAAATATTTTTAAATGGTTTTAGTTCCGAGAGTGTAGAGAATGTGTAAGTGTATTGATCGTACAGAGATATGACCATTTCAATTTTGTCACTCCCCAAATTCACTTTATATCTGCGAATACTCTTCCACTATTACATCACTGGCGTAATTTTATATTATGCTGTCATTGCAATATAAAAATCTTTAGATTTTCGCCCAAAGTCCTGTTCTGTGTCAGCTATCCATTATCAGTTGTATGGATAATAGTCCTCTACTGCTCATCTCGTCACTTTCTTCATGAATAATTTACATGCATGAAATGTCTCGGATGGCATATTGATAACGCACCGATGACGTGAGCATTCTTGAGTGAGATTTCTGACCAATTAATGACATGCTTTCAATTCACATAGTGGTCCACTGTCCATTACTCCGTGACAGGAGGTGTCTGATTGGTTGTTATGTTAAAACACACTCCAGTCATGTTATCAGTCTTTCCTGTGGACAGGTTAAGAATTACATGCTCATATGTATCACTTCAGAACCTTAAACACCATATTGTTTTTCTGACAAACAGTTAATTAGTGTAACAGGATGAAGTTTGTGGATGTGTGGAGATTTGGCCGAGTGGTGCCCTTACATCTGGGCCAAACCAAAATGTCGAAGTGAAAAACTGCATTGGATATTAGAGATAGAAATACTAGACTTACTTTTGTCTCATTGTCTCATATTACCTTTGGGTTTTACATCTCGGCCACCAGTGAAGGTCTTCAGGAGACCCTAATTGTCGTAGAGGTGAAAGACAGGATAGGGTGGTCAAGCTTTCTAACTTGGTCGATGCTCATGATGTCAATCACTAAACTGTCTGTCCCAGGCTCGATTATTTGCAAACCGTAAACAAACATCTCTGCTTATATATGTCTGTTTATGTCGGCTGCCTGCTTTACTCCAGAAGTTGTTCCTACAAGGGAAGAGTTCTATGGACATAAGGGGCGGTGGGGTAGCCTAGTGGTTAAAGCGTTGGCTCGTCATGCCGAAGACCCGGGTTCGAATCCCCACATGGGTACAATGTGTGAAGCCCATTTCTGGTGTCCCCCGCCGTGATGTTGCTGGAATATTGCTAAAAGCGGCGTAAAACCAAACTCAGTCAGTCAGACAGTCTATGGACATAAAGCTTCATCGTTAGTAGCTAAACCGAAATGTCACTCATGTAAATACGTTATATTCAATGGAACGCTCCCTGTTGTTCATCTCACCAACTTCTAAATGCCACTCAAAGATGTCAAGTTCTTAGTAACATGGTGGTATTATTTTCGAGAGACAGCTGTGGTCGCCCAAGGACACACCAGTGACCTAGTCATTTCCTCCACCTTTAGTCAGTTCCCCACAGTATATAGGCTGTGTGTGACACACCCATCACAGAGTTCATTGATCTTCCAGGCTGGAGCTTGAACTCGAGCGAGACAAGCGGGAACGAGACGCCCGGGAAAGGGACCTTCGGGAACGAGAATTACGGGACATGGAGTTGCGAGAAAAAATGAAGGCGGAAATGGAAATGAAACCGCCAGGTACGCCGATGTCCAAACTAGGTATGACTGAAACCAAACAGCCTTTGTGGCCACTTCTCTAACCGCACGTCTGCACCAGGTCGCCATAGCAACTTTGTGGTAGCCATCTTCTATTTCTAACCTATGTTTGATCTTCACTGTCCAAAAGAAATAAGGTCACTACACTCACATAGATTATTAATTTGAACATAAATCTCCTATATATTTTCTCTTGTCTTTCGAGTCTTAAATAATAATGATTATTCACATAATAATTAAATAATCCTAATAATTCAAATCCCCGTCTATTTTGAATGATAATGCCATGATGGATTGAAATACTATTTGGTTCAAAGAAAAACGGCAGCATAAAAAATTTCAGAGGTTATTCCAATCAGTGACACCTGTAAGTTTTGTGAGTGAGAATGTTTCATCTGTGTTTGAATATAGTTGACGGGTTCTTCTTCTCTCCAGGTTTGGATCGTCTGGTCCCACACGGAGCGAATCCCTTGGATCCTCATTGGTTGGAATTGCAGCGTCGCTATGGTTACCCGCCCGGTGCCCCCTTGGTGCCAGCTCACACAGGTAGCTCTAGCAGCAGCACCCCCCATATACCAGGTGTGTATCCGCCCGCCAGCCTTGCTAGTGACTTGATGGCGCGGGAACGAGAGAAGCTGGATCGACTCGGTGAGTGACAGCGCCCTCTACTACGTTCCCTGGTCCTACCAAACTACCAGCAAAACATGTGGTGCATTCAATGAGGGTTGTACTGATGTGCTACACATTCACCAGTCTGTTTAAGCGAGGGTTGTGCAGACTTTCATGTTCTGCATAACAGCGTTTATTTTGGTCTGTGTTATAGTGTAGTAATTGACACAATCAGAACACTAAGGCCATTGTAAGTCAGTGAAAGAATACAAAAGTAACAGCAATCGTAACGCTAAGTCTGTAGTAAGTCTTTGTAAGAGAAAGTTATGACAATATTAATAACACTGTCTGTCGTATGTCAGTGTAAGAATGTGAAAGTAACAACAATCGTAACACGTAGTCTGTGGTAAGTCATCGTAGGAGTGAGAAAGTTACAACAACCGCAGGAGTATGTTGCTCGTAACTTTTTCCAATTACTTATCTCTAATGAAAATCGGTGAAATAGTGTTGAGATTTTTTAATGCTCCAGTACCTTCTTTGACTTATGAAGGGTTTGGCACAAACATGTCTGCCAGACAGTAGACGGATTAATAGACCCTTCAGATACAAATTCTGGCATATTAAATTCAATCCTCATGCAAAGAAGATAACCTTATGTGAGTGAAAATATTCTGAGTTGCTATTAGAAACAACAGTACTAGATAAGTGACTCTAGTTTAGTTTGAGCATGGTGTGTGTGCACAGAGGTACATATCTTTCACGTTTTGAAACCTAGCTGTCCGCATTGAAATTGTTTGGTCCGATAAGTAAGAAATGTCTTTATCGTAATTATGTTCTACTTACAGCAATATCACGTAACTTGATAATTGAACGAGTGGTGAACACTCACTTTGCTGGTTGTTTGATGACCCCATTCATTCAGTTCTAGCATGGCTGATAGGCATGTGAAGCTTCGTTCAATCAAACTGTGCTGCCAACAGGACTTCTGGAGTTACCTCCCCTTCATCAGACAAATTTGACTGTCACATTTGTCAGATGTTTGTCGGAGAATATCTTAATCTACTCAAGCTTAAAGTTTAAAATATTTGTATCGTAATTATCATTTGTATTGCTACATATTATCATAAATGATTGGAACATTGCTTTGTTGATTAATAAATTATAACGAAGTAGTTGTCTGATCCACGTGACCGGATACCTGTTGGCTAGTCTTGGAAACATGTTTAATCATTCTCAGAGAAGTTGAAGTAAAGAAGATTGTATGTTGTGAATAATGCCATGTTGAATAATGTTTAGAAAATTGTCATCGATAGATACAAGGAAGGGTTTTCTTGTCTCATGTAATTCATCAAGTGATTCAAGAGTAATGAGAATTTCTTTGTCTTTTCTACCCGTTTTACAATTGATTGTGTTTGTGTAAATGTAACACTGCCGTCCTGGTAGCTACCTGGAGCTATTCACACATCCCCAGACGTTCCCTCTTTGTCACGGCGCGGCGGGAGAACTTACCCTTTCCTTGTATCTGTTGGCCCTCTGAAGCTGTCCCTCCGCCAGCAGGCTTGTCAGTCATGTTAGACCACAGTCGTGTTACAATCGACATCCCTAATATTGTGTAGGCTTCCCACCACACGTCTTTGGAGCCCTCAGTCATCGGGAACAGCTACTTCTTCACGGCGAGATTGAGCGTGCATCGGCAGCGGAGAGACTTCACGCGGAACGTCTGATGTTGGCCTCGGCAGACCCTGTACTGCGGATGCAGATGGGAGTGGCGGCCGCCAACAATGCAGCCATGCATGCCCACACGCACACACATGCACACTCGCACACTCATCTCCATCTCCACCCAGACAACCCGAACGGAACAACGCCCTCTTCCTCCGGCCTCCATCCTCTCATATCTCCGCATATATACCCGCCTGTAGCTCCAGGTAAGGCCAACAGATGGCGCTGTGCTTCCTAACAGTCCTTTTTTTCAAATTGTCGTTCCAGATATTCTGCAAACTGATCACATGACTGGGCGAATGATTTACCAATTTTACTCCCAACGCCTCACAAACGAACACATCTACATGCAAAGAGTCACTAACGAGTGTTATCTCCGCGCACAGAAAGATAGGGGCAACGCGGGGGTAGACCCAGCACATTTGGTCTATCAGTTTTCTCGTAAGTGTGGCTAGCAGTCTCCTCACCCTAACTGGCCAATCAACAGTCTGCGTTCGTTCGTTTGTATTTCGTCACTCGGCAGTCCCTTCAACGTATCTCCCAATGTGTTTAGTTTAAACGTTTTAGTTTGTTTTGTTTGGTTGCGCCATTGTTTCTGTGAAGGGCCTGTAAGACACATAGGGATGATAGTAAATATTGCTATGTGATGACACTTGATATTGCCTGGGTGTGGGATAAGGGGATGGGGTTTATTCAGTATTAACCGTGCATGCCCACATTACTACACTCATTTCGCATGGAGCGTCCAGTCTATGTTTATTTATTTTGACTTTCGTTACAAATTTTCTGTGCTGAGGTGACATGGCCGTGATATGAGAGCTGTGTTCTTTGATATTATGAACTTTTTAATTATACTGACATAACTCTTATATTTTAACGATTATTTATCACTTTCCCCTTAAACGTTATGTGAAATGATTTGCTTCTGTTTAAATATCTCATGCCTTTAATTATAATGTAAAGAAATAAAAATTAATTTGTTTATATTCTAACTCAATTATTGTGTAATTAATGTATTATTTGTGTATGATTTGTTTGGAGTTGTTACTCGTGTCGGGTGTGTATAGAGTTATCTGACTGTTGTAGGTGCTGACCCCATGTCAGGGGTGCCGAGTCAGGCGGCAGTGGCAGCGGCGGCAGCAGCGAGTGGTCAGAACCATGCGTTGCCGTCGTTGCAGCATGGGATCTCCCCCCATGGGATCCTCCCCGGCAGCAGGGAACAAGAGCTGCTTCAGCGAGAGCTCTATAGTCGGGCGTACATGGATCCCACTCTCGCACATCAGGTACGTCATCATTGACACACACGTGTAGTAGTGGGCGGGACGGGATATGACATGTTTCTACCATCTTATTAATATACAATGTCTTGTAGAGTGAGTGAGTGAGTTAAGTTTTACGCCACATTTAGCTGACACTGACACTGACATGTTGTATATTTCAGTGATACACACTGACTGACATGTATATTTCAATATCACACACTGACTGACATGCCATACATTTCAATATCACACACTGACTGACATGTCATACATTTCAATATCACACACTGACTGACTTGTATATTTCAATATCACACACTGACTGATATGTTGTATGTTTCAGTATCACACACTAACTGACATGTTATAAATTTCGGTATCACTGACTGACATGTTGTATATTTCAGTATCACACACTAACTGACATGTTGTATATTTCAGTATCACACACTGACTGACATGTCATACATTTCAATATCACACACTGACTGACTTGTATATTTCAATATCACACACTGACTGACATGTTGTATGTTTCAGTATCACACACTGACTGACATGTTATAAATTTCAGTATCACTGACTGACATGTTGTATATTTCATTATCACACACTAACTGACATGTTGTATATTTCAGTATCACACACTGACTGACATGTTGTATATTTCAATATCACACACTGACTGACTTGTATATTTCAGTATCACACACTAACTGACATGTTGTATGTTTCAGTATCACACACTAACTGACATGTTATAAATTTCAGTATCACTGACTGACATGTTGTATATTTCAGTATCACACACTAACTGACATGTTGTATATTTCAGTATCACACACTAACTGACATGTTGTATATTTCAATATCACACACTGACTGACTTGTATATTTCAATATCACACACTGACTGACATGTTGTATGTTTCAGTATCACACACTTACTGACATGTTATGAATTTCAGTATCACTGACTGACATGTATATTTCAGTATCACACACTAACTGACATGTTGTATATTTCAGTATCACACACTAACTGACATGTTGTATATTTCAGTATCACACACTAACTGACATGTTGTATATTTCAATATCACACACTGACTGACTTGTATATTTCAATATCACACACTGACTGACATGTTCTATGTTTCAGTATCACACACTTACTGACATGTTATAAATTTCAGTATCACTGACAGACATGTTGTATATTTCAGTATCACACACTAACTGACATGTTGTATATTTCAGTATCACACACTAACTGACATGTTGTATATTTCAGTATCACACACTAACTGACATGTTGTATATTTCAATATCACACACTGACTGACATGTATGTTTCAGTATCACACACTAACTGACATGTTGTATATTTCAATATCACACACTGACTGACATGTATATTTCAGTATCACACACTAACTGACATGTTGTATATTTCAGCTGTCGGCAGCCCAGGCTGCTGCTCATCATGATGCTCTACAGAGACAGCTGGCTCTGGAGAGAGATCGCTATGGCAACACTGGCCATCTGCCTCACTGATTGGTTGTCCGGTGAAGATGTCAAAGGTCATTTATCGTATTCAAGGCTGTGGATAAAGGAGGTGTGATGTTGTGACAGATACACGGTGTAATGTGTGACATGTCGTGCATGTCGGTGTACATGCAGATATATACACCAGTGCTGAAAGCTGTACATTTCAATGTTTATTTCAAGTGGATGGAGTAACATAGCATATCAAATACTCGAGTGTGTGTCAGTGCCGAAATCCATCACACCGTGGATGTTGTTGGGGAGGATACCGGAATACCCAGGCTGTGATTGTGTAAAAGTGTCATATCGTCAAATAGTGTTACAGGCGACAACTCTTGATATGAAAGCAACTGACAATGGGTTCTCTGGTCGGATTCACTGGCACACGTGCCAGGCTCGCAGCAAGACCACACAGGTGGTCAGGTGACAGATCACGTGATAAATCACGTGATCAGACTGTACAACGCCAAATCTCTGCAGTACATTGGACGATACAGCTGCAGATGGATATCTGTGTATTTATTGATAATAAGCATATCACACATGCTTAATGGTGCCATTGCATGAAGTAATGCATCGTGAACAATCAAAACCCTCCCATCTCCCAGGACGTTTGTTGATCTAAGTCTTGTGGCGGCCTATTGGTTGCCGCAACATTCTCATCTGTGTTCATATAGTTACCATAGCAACATTTCTCTTCATTGAAGTCATTGTGTACGTACGTCATCATCATGAAAGGGGAGATAACTCTTTAGGACGAGTCATCTCGGGAGGTAGATACTGTACGGTCATGTTTGTGACATATTGTATTGAATGATCAAGGAAAACAAATATATTCTTTGTGTCTGTTGGAAATATCAAAATGTTATTTATGCAACATTTTTATTTAATTTTTTAAATAGATTTTTAATAGTTCCCATTAAGATTAAAGCTGATTCCGATACTAGATATAATTGTATTGGTATTTGCCCAACTGAGGTTCAATGAAATGCGTGAAACTTGATTTATTGTTCTCAATATCAGTGTAGAAAGACCAGCTTTCATTCTAACCACAATTCTTATCCTACACACAATTACTTGGTATTGCTGGGTCTGTTCCTTTTATTCATAACAAGATCAGTAGGTGGTTCAGCAAAGCAAAGTACCTTCTTGTCAACCCCAAATATTATTCCAAAGTACAATTTCAAAAATTGTTTCTCAGGCACGAGTAGTTGACAACCGGTTTTATTTCATACAGAAAGTAACCAAGGGTTTCTTTTCATTTTTTGTCTGAAACAGAAATAAAATGCTTTCATATTTGAGGAGTGTTTTTGGTATATTGTACTGCCTGAGAAGCCTTTGTTTTCATGTTTGTGGAACTGGCAGCATGTTCACTCTGTGAAGGATACCGAGACCTTCGATTCTCATGGGGACCTAGTCCTGTCTCGATTCTGACGAAGAACATACAAGACGGCATCAACTGCTCAACACCTCCTCATATAAAACTACCCAGATTTAAGGAAACATGTTTAAGTAGATTCTGTGTTTTGAGCAGTGTCTGGAGTTCAGATCAGTATAAGATAAATATGAGATCAGACTACAAAACCGTTTTAACTTCATTTTCATTTGTTTGTTATGAACGGTATTCCCAGCTCTCAAATGTTGTTCAAGTGGCGTTCATAATTTATGTTTTCCTCATTTCACAACTGTTGTGTATGAGGAGTATGTATCATTTCAAAATCCAATTCCCCTGATGTCATGAAATCTCTGATATGGTGATGAGTTGTCCCCCTTTGACCACGTATTCTTAGGCAGCAGCTAGATTCTCCATTGTTTCAACTCCATGTATTAAACTCTCTCCTCCAAACCATGAAATTTTAAACTGTCATTGTATGTGTACAATCTTATTTTTATCCCCAAGATGTAAAAAGTTTTGTATAAAGATTTCTCTATGAAATGTAAATTGCACTCCGATTTTCAACAGAATGTCTGGTGGTTTAATGTATTGGGGCAACCTGACCTCTCAGTCTCACACGCAAGAATGGATGCTTCTTAAGTAGAACTGAAGAAATATGGACTACAATGAATAAATACTACCAGATTATTTAACAAGTAAATCATATTACCTTCGGGTTAGTGAAATATGGACAGTTCAAGAATTGTTGACAATAATTGTTTCATGTGGTGACAAGTATTTTTCGGAGAAAGGTCAAAACCTCGGTAAGTTAATGTGGCAAAAGTTTATTACGACTTTATGGAACTAATGTCAGAGTGAATTGGCATAATACCGTAGAGAGAGGCTCTGCTTGTGTGTGAGACGAGTTGTGCAGTGTTGCTTCCATCGAGGGGCTCTCTGTACAGTCACGTGACTCTGACGGCGCCCCCTGGTGGCCGACTTCCGTGTACATACTGCATCATTGTGTGAGCACTGCACTGGTCGGTTATAGTGCCAACATCTAGCTCATCAATAAAATTTGCTTCAGTCATTGAGTGTGTCTGTTGTTGGATGGATATACCGTCTTCCTAGCAACTAAAGTATGGCAGTTTACGTTCTATTTAGCAACTGTGGTGTCACACAATACTTTCAACCAACTAACAGAGCAGTGGTTACCATCTACCTCACAAATGAAGTATCAGGGTTTATCATCTACCTAGCAACAAAGGTATTGATGTTTACCATTTACCTAGCAACACAGGTATCAGTGTTTACCATCTACCTAGCAACAAAGGTATAGCTGTTTACCATCTACATAGCAATGAAGGTTTACCATCTACCTCACAAATGAAGTATCAGGGTTTATCATCTACCTAGCAACAAAGGTATCGCTGTTTACCATCTACCTTGCAACAGAGGTGTCAATGTTTACCATCTACGTCACAAATGAAGTATCAGTGTTTACCATCTACCTAGCAACAAAGGTATAGCTGTTTACCATCTACATAGCAATGAAGGTTTACCATCTACCTCACAAATGAAGTATCAGGGTTTATCATCTACCTAGCAACAAAGGTATTGATGTTTACCATTTACCTAGCAACACAGGTATCAGTGTTTACCATCTACCTAGCAACAAAGGTATAGCTGTTTACAACATAGCAATGAAGGAATGAAGTATCAGGGTTTATCATCTACCTAGCAACAAAGGTATTGATGTTTACCATCTACCTTGCAACAGAGGTGTCAAGCATCTACCTCACAAATGAAGTATCAGTGTTTACCATCTACCTAGCAACAAAGGTATAGCTGTTTACCATCTACATAGCAATGAAGGTTTACCATCTACCTCACAAATGAAGTATCAGTGTTTACCATCTACCTAGCAACAAAGGTATTGATGTTTACCATTTACCTAGCAACAGAGCTGTCAGTGGTTACTATCTACTTCACAAATGAAGTATCAGGGTTTATCATCTACGTAGCAACAAAGGTATTGATGTTTACCATTTACCTAGCAACACAGGTATCAGTGTTTACCATCTACCTAGCAACAAAGGTATTGATGTTTACCTAGCAACAGAGCTGTCAGTGGTTACCATCTACCTCACAAATGAAGTATCAGGGTTTATCATCTACCTAGCAACAAAAGTATTGATGTTTACCATTTACCTAGCAACAGAGGTATGAGTGGTTACATCTACATACCAACACAGGTATCAGTGTTTACCATCTACCTAGCAACGAAGGTATTGATGTTTACCATTTACCTAGCAAAAGAGCTGTGAGTGGTTACCATCTACCTCACAAATGAAGTATCAGGGTTTATCATCTACTTAGCAACAAAGGTATTGATGTTTACCATTTACCTAGCAACAGAGGTATCAGTGTTTACCATCTACCTAGCAACAAAGGTATTGATGTTTACCATTTACCTAGCAAAAGAGCTGTGAGTGGTTACCATCTACCTCACAAATGAAGTATCAGGGTTTATCATCTACTTAGCAACAAAGGTATTGATGTTTACCATTTACCTAGCAACAGAGGTATGAGTGGTTACATCTACATACCAACACAGGTATCAGTGTTTACCATCTACCTAGCAACGAAGGTATCGCTGTTTACCGTTTACCTAGCAACAGAATTATAAGGTTTTATCATCTACCTAGCAACAGAGGTATCAGTGTTTACCATCTACCTAGCAACAGAATTATAAGGGTTTACCATCTACTTAGCAACAGAGGTATCAGTGTTTACCATCTACATAGCAACAGAGGTATCAGTGTTTACCATCTACCTAGCAACAGAGGTATCGCTGTTTACCATTTACCTAGCAACAGAATTATAAGGGTTTCCCATCTACCTAGCAACAGAGTTATCAGTATTTACCATTTACCTAGCAATGAGGGTATTGCTGTTTACCAATTACCTAGCAACAGAATTATAAGGGTTTACCATCTACTTAGCAACAAAGGTATTCATGTTTACCATTTACCTAGCAACAGAGGTATCAGTGTTTACCATCTACCTAGCAACAGAATTATAAGGGTTTACGATCTATCTAGCAACAGAGGTATCACTGTTTACCATTTACCTAGCAACAGAATTATAAGGGTTTACCATCTACCTAGCAACAGAGTGATCAGTATTTACCGTTTAACCATTTACCTAGCAACAGAGGTATCAGGGTATTGATGTTTTACCATTTACCCAGCAAACAGAGGTATCAGGATTTACCATTTACCTAGCAACAGAGGAATCAGGGTTTACCATCTACCTTGCAACAGAGGTGTCAGGGTTTACCATCTACCTTGCAACAGAGGTATCAGGGTTTACCATTTACCTAGCAATGAGGGTATTGATGTTTACCATTTACCTAGCAACAGAGGTATCAGTGTTTACCATTTACCTAGCAATGAGGGTATTGATGTTTACCATTTACCTAGCCACAGAGGTATCTGTTTACCATTTACCTAGCAACAGAGGTATCAGTATTTTCCATCTACCTAGCAACAGAGGTATCAGTGTTTACCATCTAGCTACCTAGCAACAAAGGTATTGCTGTTTACCATCTACATAGCAATAAAGGTTTACTATCTACCTAGCAACAGAGGTATCAGGGTTTACCATTTACCTAGCAATGAGGGTATTGATGTTTACCAATTACCTAGCAACAGAATTATAAGGGTTTACCATCTACCTAGCAACAAAGGTATTGATGTTTACCATTTACCTAGCAACAGAATTATAAGGTTTTACCATCTACCTAGCAACAGAGGTATCAGTGTTTACCATCTACCTAGCAACAAAGTTATCGCTGTTTACCATTTACCTAGCAACAGAATTATAAGGGTTTCCCATCTACCTAGCAACAGAGTTATCAGTATTTACCATTTACCTAGCAATGAGGGTATTGATGTTTACCAATTACCTAGCAACAGAATTATAAGGGTTTACCATCTACTTAGCAACAGAGGTATCAGTGTTTACCATCTACCTAGCAACAAAGGTATTGATGTTTACCATTTACCTAGCAACAGAGGTATCAGTGTTTACCATCTACCTAGCAACAGAATTATATGGGTTTACCATCTATCTAGCAACAGAGGTATCGCTGTTAACCATTTACCTAGCAACAGAATTATAAGGGTTTCCCATCTACCTAGCAACAGAGTTATCAGTATTTACCGTTTTACTAGCAATGAGGGTATTGGTGTTTACCATTTACCTAGCAACAGAGGTATCAGGGTTTACCATTTACCTTGCAACAGAGGTATCAGGGTTTACCATTTACCTAGCAATGAGGGTATTGATGTTTACCATTTACCTAGCCACATAGGTATCTGTTTACCATTTACCTAGCAACAGAGGTATCAGGGTTTTCCATCTACCTAGCAACAGAGTTATCAGTGTTTACCATCTAGCTACCTAGAAACAAAGGTATCGCTGTTTACTATCTACATAGCAATAAAGGTTTACTATCTACCTAGCAACAGAGGTATCAGGGTTTACCATTTACCTAGCAATGAGGGTAGTGATGTTTACCAATTACCTAGCAACAGAATTATAAGGCTTTACCATCTACCTAGCAATGAGGGTATTGATGTTTACCAATTACCTAGCAACAGAGGTATCAGGGTTTACCATCTACTTAGCAACAAAGGTATTCATGTTTACCATTTACCTAGCGACAGAGGTATCAGTGTTTACCATCTACCTAGCAACAGAATTATATGGGTTTACCATCTATCTAGCAACAGAGGAATCACTGTTTACCATTTACCTAGCAACAGAATTATAAGGGTTTCCCATCTACCTAGCAACAGAGTGATCAGTATTTACCGTTTAACTAGCAATGAGGGTATTGATGTTTACCATTTACCTAGCAACAGAGGTATCAGGATTCACCATTTACCTAGCAACAGAGGAATCAGGGTTTACCATCTACCTTGCAACAGAGGTGTCAGGGTTTACCATCTACCTTGCAACAGAGGTATCAGGGTTTACCATTTACCTAGCAATGAGGGTATTGATGTTTACCATTTACCTAGCAACAGAGGTATCAGTGTTTACCATTTACCTAGCAATGAGGGTATTGATGTTTACCATTTACCTAGCCACATAGGTATCTGTTTACCATTTACCTAGCAACAGAGGTATCAGGGTTTTTCATCAACCTAGCAACAGAGTTATCAGTGTTTACCACCTAGCTACCTAGAAACATCAACATCACTTCACGTGGGTAAACACACACACGCTCACACTTCACACACACACTTCACACTGTATAGCTGAATAATCCCGGAACATCTGGGCCCAGCAACCAACAAGTCATGCTCACAGGACGTTACCATGGAGACCAGGTGGTCAGGCTCGCGGTCTCGGTCGTAGTCGTGTATGCCGTGTTGATTGATGTTGCCGATGTCAGTCACTAGATTGTCTTGTCCAATCCGACTATTTCCAAACCGCAGAAATACAGCTGGAATGTTACTGAGTGCGATGTTAAAATACAGACAGAACCGATCAAGGAATTGCTGTACATTCGGGTGACCGTTGAACCCAGACTCGACACACAACTCCTGTCCAGCTTATCATGCCTAGTTTACTTCCTAAACCGACCGCCTCCGTGGTGTAGTGGTTAGAGCGTCCGCCCGGAGAGCGGAAGGTCGCGGGTTCGATCCCCGACCGCGTCATACCAAAAGACGTTAAAATATGGTACTTGTTGGTCCCTGCCTGGCGCTCGGCATTAATGGGTACAAGGACTGGTCGGCTCGGAGTCAGTATAATGTGTCTCAGTGGGGTATTCATGCTCACTGCGGCATGGTATCTCAGTGAGCTAGCACTATAAAACCAGCTTAAGTCTGGGCTAGTACAAGCAGCCGCACATACACATACACACACACACGCATGCACGTCGTCATATGAGCGAAATATTCTCAAGGACGACGTTAAACCCAATTTCACCTCACCTCACTTCCTAAACCGTTTTGCTAACTTCACCTAAGGTGCAGATGCGCACAACTGCTTGAAGCGTCATAAAATATCACTACAATTCCTTTCCTCGCCAACGTTTCATCGGTATTGAACCTAATAAATGCATTCCCTTCACATTCACCGCGTATGTATCGATCCCCGATGGTTCAACGAGTGAAATAGACACATAAACAAAAAAAAGTCATGTGTTGTTTACCTTGGGGAAAATATACCTACTGAGTACATGTCTATTATTACTGGCCAATGGCGGCAGATTAAGATTCAACCCCTAGAAGTTGGTGTTCACAATCACTCGAAGCTTGAAGACATGCATTATCACACTGATTCAAGAGAACAAAGGTTTTGTACAATGTCCTGACAATGATATGACGTCATGTACTTGATGACGTCACAATACTATGACATCGCTGCACTGCAAGTCTAATGGCAGAACCGTGTTCAGAGATGTACATTTATCATTGAGAACTAGTGAAGAGTGGTATTGGATGATAAATAGAATCTCACTCTCGCGTCGTTTGATATCAAATATATCAACACTCGTTGACAAATGTAAAAATATCCTCAGCAAGCCTCGGATATTTGTAACTTCATCAACTCGTGTTGATATAATTGATATCAGTAGACACTTGGGTGAGCTTCCATATATATTCTGCATCCTGTTAAACAACAACAACATTCTGACAACACAAGTATCGACTACTGTACTGAGTGTATTTACTGAAGAATTCATTTGATCTTTACATATGTAATCTGCAGTCCCGAATTGACTCAGAAGAGATGTACAGTACGTCTGGAGAGTTTATAAAATGAGCGCACTGGAACATTCATCAGACAAGAGTGTTAACTCAACAACACCCATGACTGGAAACAATAATTCATTGCACAAGACAATAAACAAGATACAACCATTACTTAAGCGGTATTTTCAATACACGCACTCATACTCATCTTGATCCGTCTTGTAAACAATATGTAGATTCTAGACAAATCAGCAAAACCCATAACTGGAAACAGCAATCCTTTACACAGAAGACCAAACTGGGTACAACCACGTCTTAAACAGTATTGTCACAGACTGACTTTGTGGCACTCTGTTTTAACAGACCCGTGAGGATCCGGGGTAGAATAGGTCTTCAGCAACCCATGCTTGCCACAAAAGGCGACTATGCTTGTCGTAAGAGGCGACTAACGGGATGGGGTGGTCAGGTTCGCTGACTTGGTTGACACATGTCATCGGTTCCCAATTGCGCAGATCGATGCTCATGCTGTTGATCACTGGATTGTCTGGTCCACACTCGATTATTTACAGACCGCCGCCATATAGCTGGAATATTGCTGAGTGCGGCGTAAAACTAAACTCACTCACTCTGTTTTAACACGGTATTATCTTTCAAAATTGTAGCTCTCTCCTACAACTCATAATGACCGCCTCGTGGTGTAGTGGTTAGAGCGATCTGGCCAGAGGCGGAAGGAAGCCGTGGCGGGTTTGATGGCGAGTCGGTGTCATACCAAAGACGTTATAATATGGTTCTTGTTGGTCCCTGTCTGGTGCTGGGCGGTAATGGGTACAACAAGGACGCATTCATCTTGATCCGTGCACTGCAGTTCTGGCTACAATAACACTATCTTCTCGGTCTAAGAGCTATTGCGGAAGGTACTGTAGATTCGATCAGTCATACCAAAAGACGTTATAATATGGTTCTTGTTGGTCCCTGTCTGGTGCTATTAATGGGTGCTTCAGTCAGTATAATTTATCTGGAGTGGGATTATTCGCTTCAGCTGGCATGGTATCTCAGTGATCTAGCACTATAAAACCAGCTTAAGTCTGGGCTAGTACAAGCAGCCGCACATACACATACACACGCATGCACGTCGTCATATGAGCAAAATATTCTCAAGGACGACGTAAAACCCAATTTCACCTCACCTCACCTCACAACTCATGTCGTATTATCACACCTGGTTTCAGCTTACCAGATTTCTATTGTGATTCAATTCTGTTGACAGTCTCCAGCGTGCAATGAAGGTGTTTGGCTGGATAGGTTCTCTCTTCCTCGTAATACAGCAAAGCATCCTGGCTCCTGTCCTCTCAGTCTGCACTTTCTTGGCAGGTAGGTGTCTACTGAGAAAACATTCTTAAAGCCCCATCCCCATGAAGGTCCGGGTGTGAATTGGTCTTCAGTAGCAAGTGCTTGTTGTAAGAGGCGACTGATGGGATCGGGTGGTCACGATCGTTGACTTGGTTGGCATGTGTCATCACTTCCTAATTGTGTAGACAGATGGTCATGATTTTGATCACTGGATTGTCTGGTCTAGATTGGATTATTTGCATACTGCCTCCATATAGCTGAAATATTGCTGAATGCAGCGTTAAACAACAAAACAACCAACCAACCAACCAATCTTAAAGCCTCACAATAGCAGTGTCTTTGTGTACTTTGTTAAATGAAGGAAATACTTTTACCTGATGACTGATTACCTGTAGCATCCATGTAGTGTCAGCTGTCAGTGTCATCCATGTAGTGTCATCCATGTAGTGTCAGCTGTCAGTGTCATCCATGTAGTGTCAGCTGTTAGTGTCATCCATGTAGTGTCAGCTGTTAGTGTCATCCATGTAGTGTCAGCTGTTAGTGTCATCCATGTAGTGTCAGCTGTTAGTGTCATCCATGTAGTGTCAGCTGTTGAGTGTCATCCATGCCAGTGTGGTAATCATCCATGTAGTGTCGGCTGTTAGTGTCATCCATGTAGTGTAAGTCATCATCCATTAGTGTCATCCATGTAGTGTCGGCTGTTAGTGTCATCCATGTACTGTCAGTGTCATCAATGTCAGTGTCATCCATAGTGTGTGATCCAGCTGTAGTGTCCATGCTGTCAATGTCATCCATGTAGTGTCAGCTGTTAGTGTCATCCATGTAGTGTCAGCTGTTAGTGTCATCCATGTAGTGTCGGCTGTCAGTGTCATCCATGTAGTGTCAGCTGTTAGTGTCATCCAGTGTAGTGTCATCCATGAAGTGTCGGCTGTTAGTGTCATCCATGTAAGTGTCAGCTGTTAGTGTCATCCATGTAGTGTCGGCTGTTAGTGTCATCCATGTGGTGTCATCCATGTATGTAGTCTCATCCATGAAGTGTCGGCTGTTAGTGTCATCCATGTAGTGTCAGCAGTTAGTGTCATCCATGTAGTGTCAGCATCCAGTGTCATCCATGTAGTGTCAGCTGTCAGTGTCATCCATGTAGTGTCAGCTGTTAGTGTCATCCATGTAGTGTCAGCTGTTAGTGTCATCCATGTAGTGTCAGCTGTCGAGTGTCATCCATGTAGTGTCAGCTGTTAGTGTCATCCATGTAGTGTCAGCTGTCAGTGTCATCCATGTAGTGTCAGCTGTTAGTGTCATCCATGTAGTGTCAGCTGTTAGTGTCATCCATGTAGTGTCAGCTGTTAGTGTCATCCATGTAGTGTCATCTTTTAGTGTCATCCATGTAGTGTCAGCTGTTAGTGTCATCCATGTAGTGTCGGCTATGTCAGTGTCATCCATGTAGTGTCATCCAGTGTCAGCTGTTAGTGTCATCCATGTAGTGTCAGCTGTCAGTGTCATCCATGTAGTGTCAGCTGTCAGTGTCATCCATGTAGTGTCAGCTGTAGTGTCATCCATGTCATCCATGAAGTGTCAGCTGTCAGTGTCATCCATGTAGTGTCAGCTGTTAGTGTCATCCATGTAGTGTCATCCATGTAGTGTCCAGTGTCCTAGTGTCATCCATGTAGTGTCAGCTGTTAGTGTCATCCATGTAGTGTCAGCTGTTAGTGTCATCCATGTAGTGTCATCTGTTAGTGTCATCCATGTAGTGTCAGCTGTTAGTGTCATCCATGTAGTGTCAGCTGTCAGTGTCATCCATGTAGTGTCAGCTGTCAGTGTCATCCATGTAGTGTCAGTTGTAGAAGTGTCATCCATGTCCAGCGTCATCCATGTAGTGTCAGCTGTTAGTGTCATCCATGTAGTGTCAGCTGTCAGTGTCATCCATGTAGTGTCAGCTGTCAGTGTCATCCATGTAGTGTCAGCTGTTAGTGTCATCCATGTAGTGTCAGCTGTTAGTGTCATCCATGTAGTGTCAGCTGTCAGTGTCATCCATGTAGTGTCAGCTGTCAGTGTCATCCATGTAGTGTCAGCTGTCAGTGTCATCCATGTAGTGTCAGCTGTCAGTGTCATCCATGTAGTGTCAGCTGTCAGTGTCATCCATGTAGTGTCAGCTGTCTAGTGTCATCCATGTAGTGTCAGCTGTTAGTCATCATCCATGATGTGTCAGCTGTTAGTGTCATCCATGTGAAGTGTCCATCAGTGTCATCCATGTAGTGTCAGCTGTTAGTGTCATCTATGTAGTGTCAGCTGTTAGTGTCATCCAAGAAGTGTCAGCCGTCAGTGTCATCCATGTAGTGTCAGCTTTCAGTGTCATCCATGAAATGTCAGCCAATAGTGTCACCCATGTTGTGTCATTAAAACATGCTTATTTTTTCATCTTTTGTTTTCTTTCAGGATTGGTCAAAATATTTTCGTCTCTCGGTGCTGTGTGTGAGTATACCTTGTGAGTGACTGTGTTTTAGTTTTACGCCGCTTTTAGCAATATTCCAGCACTACCATGGCGGGGGACACCAGAAATGGGCTTCACACATTGTACCCACGTGGGGAATCAAACCTGGGTTATCGGCATGATAAGCGAACGCTTTAACCACTAGGCTGCCCCACCGCCCCGCGTACACCCTGTGAATACCCCATTAGAGTATATGGTGTGAAGATTACGGAGTACAGATTTTTGTCCTTGTTTCTAATTGTGTATTAGACATGCAACATGTGTGTCTCACACTCCCTCTACTATTTTGTAGTTAACTTCATTGCTGGGAGAAAGAGGCCAAGTCAGCCTACAACACATCATGGTAAGCTTCGATCTGTTCATGGTAAGCTGTGTCCTCTTCATGGTAAGCTTGCATTTGTTCACGGTAAGCTTAGATCTGTTCATGGTAAGCTTAGATCTGTTCATAGTATGATGTGTCTTGGTCATGCACTGATGTTTGCATGGTGAGATTAACTCTGTGATAAGCACTGATGTTTGCATGGTGAGATTAACTCTGTGATAAGCACTGATGTTTGCATGGTGAGATTAACTCTGTGATAAGCACTGATGTCCCCATGGTGAGATTAACTCTGTGATAAGCAAGCATGGTGAGATTAACTCTGTGATAAGCACTGATGTTCCCATGGTGAGATTAACTCTGTGATAAGCACTGATGTTTGCATGGTGAGATTAACTCTGTGATAAGCACTGATGTTCCCATGGTGAGATTAACTCCGTGATAAGCACTGATGTTTGCATGGTGAGCGGTGAACTCTGTGATAAGCACTGATGTCCCCATGGTGAGATTAACTCTGTGATAAGCACTGATGTTTGCATGGTGAGCGGTGAACTCTGTGATAAGCACTGATGTTCCCATGGTGAGATTAACTCTGTGATAAGCACTGATGTTTGCATGGTGAGCGGTGAACTCTGTGATAAGCACTGATGTTCCCATGGTGAGATTAACTCCGTGATAAGCACTGATGTTTGCATGGTGAGCGGTGAACTCCACCAGGAGAATAGATGATCTTCACCAACAGGTTAGAGCATTGTGGACTTAGGTCAGATTGTATTCTTGGTTTTTCATTCAGCAGATCCTGCTCCTAAAAGACCAAGGACGGACATAGATGTGGTGGGAAAGGATTCATCTGGTTATTCCCCTTACGTCCAGACAACCGGCGTGGAGGCAGGTGAGAGTTTCGCCGAGTGTGTCAGACTGAAGGAGACCATCTGGCTATCTTGTCAACTTTACGTTTATCACACAGAAACACCATCAACTTGATATTCAATGTGTGGCATGGAAATGGTCATCTTTATGAGGTCATAAGATGAGCCAAACAGTTTATTTGACAAATGCGCCATCTATGTAAAGTCCTTTTACTGTTTAACTCAAGTCATCACGTTCAGTCATAAGACGTGCACATGTATCTTGGGAAGATATTAAATGTACTTGTTTCTTGTGCTATAAAGGGTCATTTCACTTATGTCAATAAGCTTTTATTTTCATCACATCGAAATTGAAATGTCTTATCACTTACTGCTGTGAAGAATAGAAATACACACTGAATGTCTTTAACAGAACTTGACTCGAGGTGTGTGCCTGCGTGCGTGCGTGCGTGTGTGTGTGTGTGTGTGAGTTTGTTAACATATAGAGGACAAGGCCTTGTGTGTTGTGCCTGACGTCCTTAAGCCTGGATGTCAATTTGGGTTGTCTCATCTACTTCTACCCGTGAAGATCTGGGTCAGAATTGGTTTTCAGCAACCCATGCTTGTCGTAAGAGGCGACTAACGGGATCAGGTGGTCAGGCTCGCTGACTGGTTGACATGTGTCATTATCCTAATTGCATAGATCGATGCCCATGCTGTTGATCACTGGATTGTCTGGTCCAGACTCGAATATTTATAGACGGCCGCCATATAGCTGGAATATTGCTAAGTGCGGCGTAAAACAATAATTTATCAGTCAATCATTTGCCTCACATTTCGTTTGTGTACATGTTTTGAATTGTTTATTATCATAACTTTCTGAACAGAGAACGCATCAGACGTGAAAGAGGTGTTGCATGGTGTCCGGAGACTGAATACAACGGGCATCAAGAACGGCAGTGCTGGCACCGTCATAACAACCGGTATATGTCTAGGGAGTTTACGGAGCAGGGCGAGAGACTGATGATGGTCAACGAACATCGACATCAATTGATTGTGACATTGATGTTGTTTCAAGCCTTCGTACCGGATTCGATTTTGCTAATTTTATCCACCATTTGTTTGTGTTGTCCAGACTTGGTGGTCTGCAAGCGATCATTGTATGGCTGGTATGTTGCCAAGTGTGACGTTAAACAACAACAACAACAACAGGTCGATCAGTCACTCTTTTCTCCCTGTGGCCTGACAGTAGGTGGAGATGAACCTCCTACGTGTTTCTCTCACGATAAAGTGTTCACCATCAAGCATATTCTGCTTCACTGCGTGGACTGTATAAATGCAAGGGATTCACATTATGAAGCAAAAATCTGAAAGTTGACAGCATATATATTATGAACTACTTAAGAGAAATTAGTCTCAATCATAAATTGTAACTATGTGTTTGTGTGACAAATTGGCTGTTTTTAAATCTGGTTTTATGATGTTATCTATTTGTAAATAACTCTGTAAATGAGAAATATGTATTTTAAGAAATTCCTTTAAACTTTGTTGTTAAGATGGAGATGTGTATATGTGCACACTTGGTCTCATTGTTATATGGCTAAAATAATCCAATGCAACTCCAAATTTTAACCCACTCACCTTCACTCACTCACAAGAAAACAAGCTCAGTTGGGTAGCCTGGTCGAACTTACTCACCCACAACAAATCACCACATTAAATTTCTCCTCGACTATGATTCATCATCCACAATGAACATTGAGGTACGGCAGCTAACCCTGGGAAGTGAAAACTTTGTCAAAACATCGAATACACCGTAGATTCATACTTCTGTGTGTGTGTGTGTGTGTGTGAGAGAGAGAGAGAGAGAGGGATATGATGACTTTAAGAGGAGGGCGGTTGTCACCCATTTTGATCTGGTGAGGTAGGAGTGGTCATCCATTTTGTACACATGTACTAGGGGTCATCAATTTTGTACATGTAAATATTAGAAAAAATATGCTTAAAAATGTGGGGGGGAGGGGGGGGCATTGATTTTGTACATGACATACAAGGGGCAAATTACTTTGTACATAAATCTTAGGGGGGTTCATTCACATTGTAAATGCTTCTCCATGAAAATCATCATATCACGCACGCACGCACGCACACACACACACACACACACACACCATAAATTATGAAGGGTCCCCTTCAGGAATGTTTTCTCTCTATCATCAATGACAGTTATAAATGAGTTTATGTAATTTTGTCAGAATGATGCGGTCTGCATTGATGACTGAATGTTATTATACGCCGCACCTGCGATATTTCTGTTGCAAGCATGTGAATCTCGTATGTATTTGACTGTTGTATTTGATTGACGTTTTACTGTGTATCAAAGATAAACTTTGAAATATACATGTCACATCAATGTCAGTGTCTCTGTTTCACCTGATGACTATAGTCTGTTTGCAGTGAAAACGTACCAATGAATTTTCACTTTAAACAAAAAACTGAACCAAGTTAAGTGAAATTAAGATTGCGAGTCCTCATAAAGTTTACCTTGCAAATTGGAAATTTAAATCTCAGAATTTTATTTAACTTAGGATAAAAGTTGTTTAACAAACGATCATAGATTGAAATCGTTACTATTGGTTTCTATTACAGTAGATGGAACAGTGAAACAAATGCACGTGCGGAACGTGATGAGCGTTAACTTAAACCAACACTACTTGTTCTCGGTGTTTCATATAAAGTGCATACCCGCTTGTAATGCAAACCAATAATAGCGATTTGAAACTATGATCGTTTGTTAAACAACTTTTATCCTAATTTGAGTAAAATTCTGAGATTTGAATGTTCAATTGGCAAGGTAAAATTATGAGGATTCGCAATCTTAATTTCACTTTATTCGATTTACCTTTTTGTTTAGAGTGAAATTCATCGGTACGTTTTCACTGCAAACAGACTATACAGAGCAAGAAAAAATAAAATTCAGTGGCGTTTTTAAATTTGCTGATATAGAAATGATCCCAGTTTATGGAGAATAACTTACGAGATTCGAGATATTAGAGTTTGTTTTTCCTCAATGAAACGTGGCGTCCCGAGACGTGCCGAGTGAAATGTACAATGTTTCGATCCTAGTCATTCGTCATCACTCGCCCCTTTCCGTAACCTCCAAGAAGACTCGTCCCCCTATCGATGCTTGTTATGTGCGAAAAATACAACAAACCAATCAGAACGCACATAAATGAGCGCGGTGCTTTGATAAAAATAATCCTGAGTACTTAAATCGTTTATGGCATTATGCCATTGTTAAAAAATTATGAAAAATATATATCGTCATATTGAAAGTACAAAGAACGTAGCTAACAGGATTTTGCTGGCTATTATGAAGTTTTTAATAAGAATCACGCGAATGACGGTGAGAGATTCAAATACACACACGTGCGTTTGTTGACATAACGGCTCTCAGGGGTCCAACGGAGTGTATTTCTGACGATCTTGCGGGCTTGTTATGGAGATTGTACGTGCGCTTCGACCAATTTTAGGAAATGTAATTTTATCGCTTTGCGTTTCAAAACAATAATATCGTATTTGTATGTAACTAATCAACCTTAATCTTTAACATTGGGCTTATATTTCATAGCTCTGGGGATATTTTAGTCTGACTGTTTTTTGGTCATTCATTTTTTTTTTTCAGCGAATTCATTTAAAATTCCACAAGGGGTGTGACAGCAAGGATACACGAATGTTCAGTTTGAGAAAAAATTAAACGTCATTTTTTTGAGTATCTGCTTTGGGATTTAATGTAGCCGAAAAAATATTATTTTATTTGTATATTCAATAAAACAATTCCCATTTTTGATTATTAAACCCTATTAAAAAAATTAACATAATTGGAAATATAAGGTGAACAGCTGGTAATAACTACATTTTTTTTTTTTTTAGAATATGTCTTTAACAAATATGTTTTTCTCCTTTTAGTTGTATCAAAGAGGATTAATATGTAAGATAAATAAGTAAAAAACAACAAAAAACAACAACCTAGCAATACAATGTACATGTGCTTCGGTGATATTAAGAAACATTGGAATCAAACAGGGATAGAGTTATCGTTCTTGTTTAAAGTAGTTCTGATGTTCATGCGCCAATATGAAATCCTTCCAGAGGGGCACGAGTCGCTAGTCGGCTTGTCCCGGAATAACACGAGTTGGTTACGAATGGATCCTAGTGTGAAACATTTGAAACCCGAGGTTTGCCGAGTTAAACATAAAAGTCCTAAGCTTTGGAAAATACAATTTCACTTGCACAATTTTCAGTTTTAAGTTTATGAATTTCACATATTAGTCATTCAAAAATCCTTTCATTCTGTATATATAGTGTCACGCATTCAAAGAAAACCTTGGAATACCCGAGAAATGGCTTAAACATATTTCTCCCCGACGAATACAATGACGTCCGGTAATCCCGCGCACCTAAGCACATCGATCGCAACACGGCAACTAACGTCTCTTATTTTTGTGGTTTACGTGACTAAACATGCTGGTATGCATCATATTTATCTAGAAATATAAGTTTTATTGACGACTATAAGATTCTAACATTGCATTATGACATACGGTTGACCTTACCGGCATTCTGACGACCTCGCTTGCTGTCCGGTAATTCTGCGCAGCAACTGATGCGTACAACATCCAGCTGGAGATCCGAAGTGTGGAAGCGTATTAGGGCCAGATTATTTTCAAAAATCACTTCATCAATGTAAGGAAGAGTGTTTCATATTAAATCCAATTATGAATAATGAAGAAAAAAGGTATCTCTGTACATCAAGACGTGGCTCGTGCCTAGTTGGCCCACAGATAGTCATAAAAGCATCTAAATGTAAATATTTCATGACCTTTTGTATCGTTATCCATACACGTGAACACTAGTTACAGAATAACACAGGAGCAGGACACGCTCACCTTCCGAACCCGATGACGTCAGTATTTGATATTAATTCATTAACAAATGGTCATGATATAGTCGGAATTGTACTGTCAACTTCAGGCAGAGATGTGTGATGTATATTGGGAAGGGGTTCGTCGCTTTTATGTGATTATTACGATTGACCTTTATTTATACTCACTAGAAAATATAGTTGCCGTTATGGTCTTGCATTGTTTAATCTAGTTGATACACACGACCTGTGAATACAACAATGTTCGGGACTTGTGACCGCCTCCGTGGTGTAGTGGTTAGAGCGTCCGCCCGGAGAGCGGAAGATCGCGGGTTCGATCCCGACCGCGTCATACCAAAAGACGTTAAAATATGGTACGTGTTGGTCCCTGCCTGGCGCGCGGCATTAAAGGGTACAACAAGGACTGGTCCGCTCGGAGTCGGTATAATGTGTCTGAGTGGGGTATTCATGCTTCACTGCGGCATGGTATCTCAGTGGGCTAGCACTATAAAACCAGCTTAAGTCTGGGCTAGTACAAGCAGCCGCACATACACATACACATGCATGCACGTCGTCATATGAGCGAAATATTCTCCAGCGCGACGTTAAACCCAATTTCACCTCACCTCTTATCTTAGTGTATTCTGTTTCCAAGCGTTCATTCCCTGTGGGAAATATGCATTATGTCGGAAAGCGCACGTAAAATCTCCGAGAGGCAGACAGACAGAGGTACGCTTATACATGCCTCAACTTTAGCACAAGGGTAATCCTAGACCGTGGTCTGAATAACCTTTCTGTTGATGAGCTCAGGAACCAAAGAGTTCTTGACATCAGACGTTTCACGTGCAACGTGCAAGAAAAATGGGGAAGTTTTGCCCTCCAACAAATACCTATTGAAGTTTGACATCTGACACGCCTAAACTCCCGCGACGTTGAAAGGTAATTTGTTTTTTCAATGAGAATTGGTTTGTTTATACCTCGTCCGACCCGCTTCAACTGCCAAAAGTTTGACCACGGTCAAAATACTTTGATATTGGATATTTTTTAGCGCACATATCCACGCACTAGTGCATGCTCAAGCCGCTGGTATTTTTCCCCTGATCATTGGATGTCAGTCTCAACCACCCACCTATTATTAATCTCAACTCCCTGGGGATCATACAACTCTTTCTGCCACAAGGCGGACCGAGTTATTGCGGCTTTCCCATCCTTACGAGGTACCCATTCACAGCTGGGTACCTATTGTACCCACTTGGAGAAAACGACCATTCCGCTTATCGTTCTCTGATTCCAGGTCACTGAAACAGTGCGCCCTCCGTTTCTGTCCAAACACCCTCTACAAATGGCAAAGCACAGCAGACGACCGATCCTCCACCAACTGAAGAGAAGGAGGATGCAAATAAAACTACTCCAAATAGATGAAACATTCCAAAAGCTCAAAGAAAACTTCATTTTTGTTAAAACTCTTTGGAGGACATGGATGTTTCTCACAACACGCTCCCACGTAACTCCTCCTTGAATGACCCACTGCCTATCACGGTGGAATTGTCAATGGTCCTAGGACTAATTGTAATGGAATCTTACTTCTGACACATGGCTATAATACAGTATCATTGTGTCTTCAAGAAACATACTTTAAAGAAAATTATCGATTAAGCTTGATAAATTCCCATCTGAAGATAAAGCACGTAAATGTGTTAAGAAAATCACGCAAGATCTGGAAACGTTTTTTTCAAGATACGCTTACTCTACTTAACAAAGTGTGGAAAGATCAAAGTTATGGGATCCAGCGACTCTGGTTCAACAGCTGAAAATAAATGGCAGTGTGTTAACATCCAAAAAGATTATTGCTGATAAAATGGCATAAACAGTAAGGAAAAACTCTTCTTCTACAAATTACGATCCTACCTTTCAACAGTATCAGAATAAACAAGAAAAAGTCTATCTAAATAGAGTGAATAAGAGAAGCTTGAGATGACTCGTGATACAACATCCGGGTCTGATCATTGACATGACCATTACTAAAACATCTACCTCAGGAATCTCTCTTAGTTGTAAAATATATT